GTGCATGCTCTGGCTGCTGAGCTGGCAGTGGCGGTTTCTTGGCGCTGGTCCCTCCCCAGGGCAGTGCTGCTGCTGGGGGAGGCAGGCTCCTCGGGTCCCCAGGCGATGGGGCGTTGTACTCGCGCTGGACGCAGCGCTCCCTCTCCAGCAGCTTCCACGCCGGCCGGCGGAGAGGCTGAGCCACGATGCAGACAGCTTTGGTTCATGGCCGATGGCGACAGCCTGCCTTCTACCAAGATGGAAGCAGGTCGGCCTTTCTGAGGAAGACTGCACAGGAGCGACCTGGAACACAGGATTAAGATCTTCAGGGCCCAGGTGTGGGAAGTACACTCCAGTCAACAGCTCACCCCCACCCTCCCTGCAGTTCAAAATAAAATGCGGGACAGCGGTGGCGTCAGGCCTGCTGGTTAAGACAACCGTGTCCCATACTGGAGCACCTGGGTTCGTGCCCTGGTTCTGTTCTCATTACAGCTTCTTGCTAGTGTGGATCCTGGGAGGCAGCAGGTGAAGGCTCAAGTTCTTGGGTTCCTGTCGCTCACACTGGAGATCTGGACTGAATTCTAGGCTCCTGGTTTCAAACTGGCCCAGGGGCCTGCGCTGTGGCATAGCAGGTGAAGTCGCTGCCTGCAGGGTTGGCATCCTATATGGGCACCGGTTTGTGTCCCGGCTGCTCCACTTCCGATCCAGCTCTCTGCTATGGCCTGGGAAAGCAGTGGAAAATGGCCCAAGTCCTTGGGCCCTTGGGCCCCTGTACCCACACGTGAGACCCAGAAGAAACTCCTGGCTTCAGATTGGCACACCTCTGTTGGCACAGCTCCGTTGCTCCTGGTTTCAGATTGGCCGTTGCAGCCAATTGGGGAGTGAACAGTGGATGGAAGCCCTCTCTCTCTCTCTCTGCCTCTCCTTCTCTCTCTGTGTAACTTTCAAATAAATGTTAAAAAAATTAAATACTTAATAAATATTTCAAATAAATAAAAATATTTTTAAAAACTTAGTGGAAGGGAACCAGAAATTAAGGGTAACCTAGTAGAGATCAAGTTCAGATCAAGTTGTGGATTCAATTTTGAATCCTGGATCAGAAGTGGGCGGCCTTTTTTTTTTTTTTTTGATTTATTATTTGAAAGGTAGAATGACATAGAGATCTTCTGTCCATTGGTTCACTCCCTAAATGGCCACAACATCCAGGTCTGGGCCAGACCAAAGTCAGGAACCAAGAACTCTATCTGGGTCTTCCACATGGTTGGTGGCAGGGGTCAGGTACTTGGGCCATCTTCTCCTGCCTCCCCAGGCACATCAGTAGGAAGCTGGATCGGAAGCAGAGCAGCTGGGACTTGAATTGGCTCTCCAACTTAGGATGCCAGTGTCTCAAGTGGTTGGCTTAACCCTCTGCCTCACAAGGCTGGTTCCAGGTAGCCCTCCTTCCGTGTGTGTGACAAATGTTTACTGAACACCTATTATGTTGAGGAGTAAGAGTCCAAACACAGTCACTTCCTACTGCACACAAATAGATCTATGGTTCCCCTCTAGTGAGACTGCGTGTTCCGCTTCTTTCGCATCTGGTAGGAGTGGACTACAGAGAAGCAAAAAACAGACCACTGCTCAGAGAGGCTACAACACTTGAGCCCTTGGCTAAGAACATGGGAGGCGGGAGGGTGCAATTCTCAAACAACTGTGTCTGCTGTCTCTGATCATACGGCAGAGCCTTAAGCCTTATAGCCACGATGTCTCTTCAATTCAAAATTTGTTTGCTTGAGGAAAATTAGGCTGTGGCATCTGCTTGGTTAAGGTAAGCCTCAAGTTCTTTATAAAGTCAGTTTTAATCAGACAATTCAGTACATGAACTTGTGGGAAAAAAGAAACTTGCTGCTGGGGCCGGCCCTCTGGCGCAGGTTAATCCTCTGCCTGCGGCGCTAGCATCCCACATGTGTGCTGGTTCTAGTCCCAGCTGCTCCTCTTCCAATCCAGCTCTTCACTATGGCCTGGGAGAGCAGTGGAAGATGGCCCCGGTCCTTGGGCCCCTGCACCCACATGGGAGGCCCAGAGGAAGCTCCTGGCTCCTGGTTTTGGAACAACTCAACTCCAGCCATTGTGGCTATTGGGGAGTGAACTAGTGGATGGACGACCTCTCTCTGTGTCTCTCCCTCTGTGACTCTACTTCTCAAATAAATGAAATCTTTAAAAAAGATAAACTTACTGTTAAGTGCTGATCTGTTACTTTTGGTCTGTATCTGTATTACAACATAATGTATAAGAGTGTTTCAAAAATTTGTGGGAAAATAGAAGTAAAGCATAATGTGTATTTTCCACAGTCATTTTGAAGACCCTGCATGTTGGTTTTTTGTCAAGACTGTGACCTGGCCAGCCCTCTGGCATCTAAAGAACTGTTTCTCGGGTGTAGGTGTTTGGCCTCGTGGTTATGACATCCGCATCCTGTATGGGAGCGCCTGGGTCTGTGTCCTGGCTCTGCTCCAGAAAATGGCTTTCTGTTAGTGTGGACGGGGGAGGGGCAGCAGCGACGCCACCCACAGGGGAGCCCTGATTGAGCTCCTGGCTCCCAGCTTCGCCTGGCCCAGCCCCCGCTGTTACAGGCGTGTGGGGAGTGAACCTGTGAACGGGAGCTGTTTGTCTCTATGCCTCTCAAATAACAAACAAAACTGTTTCTTGGGTAATATGAGCAATCTGTTATCAGAATTACCTTATTTTCACTTCTGCAGTTTTTCCATTTGTCATCTTTAATGCATCTAGATATTCAAGAGTAAGTGAGCACACCAGTATTATTTTGGCAGTTGCTGTATTGATGCTGGTTACGTCTTGGGCAAGAGAACAAAATCCACTTTAACCACAAGTTCTGTTTTCCCTCAATGGTTAGTACATTACTGACTAGGACAACTCTATGCCTTTCAGTAACAGCCACACTGCAGTGGGGGAAAACTGCGCCATGTGGCACAGTGCAGGGGTTGTTATTTTTTTAAAGGTCTATTGATTCGAAAGGCAGTTATTGAGAGAGGGGGAGACACAGGGAGATCTCCCATTTGCTGATCTACTCCCCAAATGGCTGCAACAGCTGGCGCGGGTCTGATCTGAAGCCAGGAGCCAGGAGCTTCCAGGTCTTCCATGTGGGTGCAGGGGCCCAAGGACCTGGGCCATCTTCCACTGCTTTCCTGGGCACACTAGCAGAGAGCTGGGTTGGAAGTGGAGCAAATTAGAACTGGCACCCATATGGGATGCTGGCGCTGTAGGCAGTGACTTAACCTACTATGACACAGCACCAGCACTGGGGGATTATTTTTATTTGAAAGAGTGACAGAGATCTTGCATCTACTGATTCACTAAATGCTAAATGACTGCAACAGTTGGGACTAGGCCAGGCTAAGGCCAGGAACCTGGAACTCTATCCAGGTCTCCACATGGATGGCAGGGGTCCAAGTACTTGTGTTAGGAAGGCAGACACTAGCCTGTGTATGAGGGGCCGAAGGGGAAAAAAATGGGAAACATGTTTGGTTAAATCAAGGATGGTACCAGCAGCTCTTTGAAGCATGCCTCCAAAGCAGCCCAGCATTTATACATCACAAATCCTGCCCTTGTCTGATGATCTTATAGGTGGGGGTCCTAGTGCTGTCCTCCCACCTCCCAACCCCAGGGGGATTTTCCAGGCCTGGTGCCAAGGAGGGGTGTTACATCTGATATCACTGGGCAATAAAGTCCCAGGAGGAATTTCACACCCGGAAGGTCCTCTGGGCAGCGAGGACTCTGGGAGGAGAAACAATAGCTAAAGGTGTGCCCCCAACCCTTGTCAACCGTCTAGATACAGGCTAGGCCCTCAGTTCCTTGCCGAGTGGCCCAGCTGACCTGTCAAGTGTACTGCTTCATTAAACTTCTCTAGCTCGCTTACGGCCAATCTGTCTCGTCTGTATTCCTTTCTTTTGGGGGTCAAGAGCCTCTGCTCCAGCTGTCTCTGGTAACTGAGACCGTCATCACTGTCTTCCCGGGTACAGTGGCAGGAAGCTGAATTGGCCGTGGAGAAGCCAGAACTTGAGTCCACACTCTAATATGGGGTGGGTGTGCACTAAGCGGTGGCTCAACTGGCCGCGTCCCGATACCCGCCCCTAGAGAAGGGGACTGGCAGTTGGAGGCCTACACCCCAGGCAGGATGCTGCCACTTACCAGCCGTGAGCACCAGGGACAGATACTAACCTTTTAAAGCCTCATCATCCTCATCTGTAAAATGGAGAGTAAATGCCTCCCTCCTGAATGAGAAAGCAAATCAAAGAAAATTTCACATTAAAAAGCAGTGTTCAGATGGAGTGTTTGTTCTGGGGTTGACAGCCACTTATCACTGCAGACTACACATGCTGTTCTGTGTCCTGTAGCCCCAGGATGCCTCCAACACTAGGCGAAGGGAGGCACAGCTTCAGTCACCTAAGACAACAGACTGGAGTTAGGAATAAGAAAACACATCAGTAGTCTGGGTATTACAGTGGCTTCAACATGTTTTTAAAAAAAAAAACAACAAAAACCCTGGTGAGTCTTAAAACTCATTTGCTTTTATCCTATTCAATGGAAAGTAGATAAATCACTTACTCTTATTTTTCTGACATACACATCAGCCACTGTGCATGGTGGTATCTTTAGCTACAAATGGCAGAGTGATATGAAACGCATGCCCAAAACCAGCTTCTGCTGTCAAAGTTCCCCAGTCCTGGAAGGCCAGGAAGCCCACAGGTGCAGAGAGCAGACGACTGGGACGGGATTCCAGATCTCTTTATTTGAAGAATAACTCTGACATACCAACCCACGCACCACTATCAACACTCATAAATTTATAAAAAAAAACCCTTAATAATACACGTTTCTTTTAAAAGCAAAACTTCCATTTAAGTAGATACAGATCCGTTTTCTTTAGCATCTATCTACACCTTTCTAAGGGATGATGGAACCTCAGATGGTATTACAGATGTTTTATAATTTCTGATTCTTAGGCCATGGCATTACAACCTATGTTCTCTGTTTTTTTTTCCCTGTTAACTTTTTGTGCAGACACTTATCAAATAAGACACTGGTTCCTGTTTGCTACAAATTAATTTTCCTTCACCCTAGTTAAGAACCATCAGTTGCTAGATCAAGGAAGTTTTTTTGAAAGGCAGAGAGACACAAGATTGTCCATCCACTGGTTCACTCTCCAAAGGCCTCTAATAGCCACGGCTGTGCCAGACCAAAACCAGACCAGGTTTCCCACATGGGTGGCAGGGACTAAATCACCTAACCCCATTATCCGTTGCCTCCCAGGGCGTACATCAGCAGGAAGCTGGAATCAGGAGTGGAGCCAGGTCTCAAGTCCAGTCACTCTGAAACAGAATGCAGGCATCTCAAGCAGTGTCTACCACTGCACCAAACACCCACTCCATGGAATATGCTTTTGAAAATTAAAGCACAAGGGGAGAGCTCTTGACTTGACTGCAGTACCTATCTCTGCCTCCTGCTAATGCGCATTCTGGGGCAGCACTGATGGCTTAGTAACTGGGTGCCTGCCATCCATGTGGGAGACGTGAATGGCCTTCCAGACCTCTGGAAGCTTGTCCCTGGCTACTACAGACATTTAGGGGAGGGATCCAGCAGATGGCAGTATGCTCTCTGGTCTCTCAAGTAAATAAATAATTTTAAAATGCAAATTAAAGTACTAGAAGAAATACTGTGGAGATGTAGCTCAGTCTGGAGCATGAGTGTTCTAGCAAAAGGTCCCCAGGCAGAGAACCACACTTAGGCCTCGCAACTGCAGACAGTTCCTGAGGTAGGTAAGTACGCATGGCGATTCTAATTCTTCTTGGCTGTTATCAGACTGCTTTCTTCTTAACTGTTCTGGTCTGTTTAAATATAACCAGCAAAATCATAGTAAACTCAGACAAAAATGATCAAGAACTGGCTTCCTATTGCTCTGTAGATTAGTGAGTTCACTAGCTGTTTAATTTTAAAGACGTAGAGCATTGATTCCGGCACAATTTACTTAACCAAAGCATAGCAAGTTAATATAAACAAAATTAAGTAAGATGAGCACATTTCACATACCATATAGACTGTGCAAGGGAAACACAGAAAGTTAGATTTTTTAACACTGCCTCGTATGAATATTCAAATTATTAAATTTAAAAAGATTAAGGGATAGGAAAATATATGAGTTGTCCCAAGCTCAAATAATTTTGATAAAAAATACATTTCATGCAAGAAACAGAAAAGTAGTCATTTGGTGCCATGCTTTTATTCAAATGAAAGGGGAAAAACTACACTGTACCAGGAAATAGCAAATCTGACAGTATTTTACAGCACAGCATCTTAAAAAAAAAAAACAAAAACCTGTAAGCAATGCTCTAAAGTGGACAGGTAAGCACACCATACACTGCACATTGCCCAACAGTGACCATGAAATCATAATTCAATAGCTGAATCTGGCTTCAAACAGCCAAATAAAAACTGTAACAGTCATCCTAAAACAAAAGTGAAAAACTGAGAGGAATGAAAACCTTTCCAAGGCTGTGTCAAATAGAAGACTCTTACAGGCTACACTGGGAACCATGAAAAGTGTTTGGCAAGTTAACTGAATAATTATCTCAACAACTTGACCTCCAGTGATGAAAGCACCAATGTGTTTCAGAAGGCTGATGGAAATCCTGATTTCATGAAATGGCATATTTTTTTCATTTGTATAATTTTAAAAACATAATTCAAAAAAAGCTGCACCATAATAAAAAATTTGCAGAGTTAAAGAAATATATCCATATTCCTTTTGCATTAATAAAGTAAAATCTTATACTGAGAGCAATGAACTTTGTGGAAATATTCACATTCTACCTTTAGACATTATGGACATTCAATTCAGTTGCTGGACACATCCCAATTTAAGAACAAAGGATACTCCTGTTTAGTTTTAAGTAGCTCCTCCGTTGTCTTACATCCAATTTTTCTTTATTTAATAGCCAAGTAATATCAAAGAAATTGCTTTGATAAGGGACACTAATTGAACAAATTAAGTAATGTAAAATGATGATTATGTTCTTTTTGACTGTTATTTACCACATTTTGATTAGATTTTTAAGACTAATCTTAATCTAAACATATATCTGACAACTGTTTCTTTCTAATTGTGATAGAAGTTGTGTCTGAAAGGTAAAATGTGCTATTCCCCATTTCAATATTCATATATTATATACACAATATGTATACACTTAAAATATAAGAGTTACATATCCTGGTCTCTTACATGCAGACAGCAGATCACAAATAGTTTTGAGCTACACATATATCTTGCACAGGTATTGGAAAAAAATCTGTGAAATTTTTTTTACAGTTTTAACAAATATACATAAGAACATAAATTACAGTAAAATATTGACAGCATTTGAGAAAATGTTGATAACCCAGATGCAATGATGCCTACGGGCCTTATAATAGAAAAGTACAGCTCAGGGACATCTCATTCCTATTCTTTTTTTTTTTAAATAAGTAAATACATCATATCAGACATTAGTTCTCTCTCTAAACACCTCAATTAGAGAAATGTACATATTTTCATCTCTACTTTCCATGAAAGAAAACAAACTACACATCTCATTTATGATACAACACTGTCTCTCCCCGAGTTTACACAGCTGTCACAACACTGAAACAGAACAGGGTCACATAATCATTCAAGTCTTTTCCTGAGAATGAAGTTTTCCCCCAACTAACCCTCTGGTATACATTGTTAAAGAACAAGGATCATGTAGAAGAGAATTCAAGTGTGTACTTAATCTAAGCTGCTCCACTTGAAAAGGATTAAAAAGAAGAACCCAATGTAAGTAAAATAATGTGAAGCTATCTTAAAATTAAAATGTAGCCCTTTGGACATGTTTAAAAATTCTAAATATACTTTTATATTATAAATATAATGTAGAGACCTCTTGAGAACTTACTTCAGGAAGTCTTACATCTTCAGACTGAAAGACTACTCTCAAAGTGTCATTCACTTCCACCAGCTTATAAAGTGACTTGCTTTAAAAGAGATAGAAAGCCTTTTTTTGTGAAAAGAACAATCTAAATTATTCTGAGTTGGCCAGAAGTGGCATAAAAACAGCACTGATTTAATCAGCAACTTCTGACAGCATATTCTTGGTTAAGCTCATGTGGTTTAAAGCAAACCTACTAGCAGCTCTTCACAACACCTCCTCTTATTTAATACAGAAACGTTAATACTTGAGTGATAATAAATATAGAGTTGTAAATACTCAGCAGAATAATTTTTGCAAATGCTCTAACACCACTTAAACATGAGGGTTATTGTAAAACTAAACACTAGTGTTTCTCTTAACATCATTAAAAAGGTGCAATTACTTCTGAAGGTATATTTCCTACTTTCATGATCTCCACATGAAACAAAATACAAAGGTACTTAGAATAAACCCCCAGGAGAGAAAATAACAAAACAGACCATCTGAAGACAAGCATGTACATTAAAAGGTTAGAAAACAAATAAAACACATAATCTGTAATCCTAGCCATGTCAACCATAAGTCCAATTGGTATCCATGAAAAGTCAGTGCTTCGATGTATGTAATACCAAGCAGGTGAGCCTCATAGCACATCCAGATCTCCACTGGTGAACCAAACTTCCCCTTCCTCTCTTGGCCTTTTCACCTAAGCCAGAATCTTCTATATTCCAAAATACTGTGGTTTAGAATTCCAGTTGTTCTTGACAACAGAGCTTAATGTCCAGTTTTTATTAATAAAAGTCTTGTTGGCAATTAGAAAGATTTTCTATAGGCAGGAAAGATGAAGTGCAAATTTACCACAAATGTTCTGAAGCAAATATTCCCCAGCTCCTATGCCTTAGTGGGTAAGAGTTTTTTGGGTGTTACTGGTCTTTTGGTCTGCCATAAATGGCTATGAATAGTAATTGCATCAACACTGGCAGACAATGTTTTAGCAGGTATGTGGCTGAACTGTTTCCTGTCAGAATTATATTTGTAAAGTCCCTCAATCATTTTTTTAGTGATCGATTTAGGGCCTATCCCGGTCAGTTTATTGATTTCTTCAGTTTCTGGGCAGTAAGTATACAGAGATCTGAACTGGCAGCCTGAATCCCGGAACAAGATTAAGAAGTTGTTGGCATCTGACTTCTCCATTTCCTTTAGGATAAAAAACAAAAACAAAATGAAATAACAACAATAAAATTTTGAATAGTTTATATAATTGGTCAAATTTTGTAATAGTATCTTAGTGACAGATCTTAAGGTCTATTCCTGGTCTTTAAATTTGCAGTCTTCTAGAACCCAATCTAAAATTGAACCAGCTCAGTCTAATAATTATGACAGCTCCTTACAGATCCCTTATATGCTGGTAAAACTTTAGGAGGCCTATGAGTGTATTTTCTTCTGAATTGACTGAGAAAATTCTTACAGTTTTGGGATGTTGCCAAATTTAACTTTTGTGTAAACATGCTTACCTCCAGTATCTTTTTCTTCTGACCTTCGTTTACTTTCCCAGCCAAACAGCAATGAGCTAAAGCATTTTGAATTATGTGCTTATTGGATTTCGCACTGGGTTCTTTGTAGAGCTTTGGTCCTGCAGTAAGGATTTAATAATAACAACAACTTTTCTAAGTCAGAAATAAATGCTACCATTTTTAAATAATGTACTCGTTCCTTCACCAATGAAACACTGTAATAGAAAACAAAATTCTGTCCTTGAAGGCCTCTTACTGGCTGCAGTCCAATCAATGCACTGTTTTGTTCACATAGAGATACACCTGAAGGAGGTTCCTCTGGCTTTTTGAGGAACAGAGAAACAGAGGGAGTAACGTGGAAATAGCTGAACCCCACACTTTAAAGACTGCAAGACTCACTCTAGGAGGTTGTATTAAAAGCCACGGAGTAGGGAGGAAAAAAGGGCCAGCATGAAATACACATGAAAATGCTCTAGCCAGTTTGAACCTCCATAGGCCTTTACGGCTTCTACTTCCGCTGGATCACAGGTGGATGTGGACAGAGACACTACCCTTTCCCCCAGCTTTTTCCCCATACCTGTTCTTCTCCTGCCTTTCCCTATTACCTCTTAATAAGTTGTTCACATTTCTTCTCATTTTCAATCTTGCCTCATTTCTGTACAACTCGTCCTTACCTACTTTTGATATGTGAGGCTGGATACCCTCCTAGATCCAATGCATTGTTCTTATCTTACTTGAAAGGCAGAGTTAGAGAGAGGTAGAGACTCCCCAAATGGCTATAATGGCTGGGGCTGAGCCAGGCCAAAGCCAGGAGCCAAGAACTCCATCCAGGTCTCCCATGTGGGTACAGGTGCCCAAGGATTTGGGCCATCCTTCGCTGCTTTTCCAGGCATGTTAGCAGAGAGTTGGATCAGAAGTGGAGCAGCTGGGACTCAAACTGGCACTGATATGGGATGCTGGCATCACAGGCAGCAGCTTAATCTGCTATACCACAATGCAGGCCTCATTGTTCTATTAGACTCTCTTAATAATTCTAGATACCTGAAATCCTAATCTTAGGGGGAGGAATTTGTGGATTCCAATCTTTTTTAGAGATTTATTTATTTGAAAGGCAAACAGACAAGGAGAGAGGGACAGAGAGAGGGAAGCAGGGCAGAAAGAGAGAGTCCTAATCCATTGGTTTACTTCCCAAATGGCAGCAATAGCCAAATCTGGACCAAGGTTGAATACAGGAGTCAGGAACACTATCCAGGTCTCCATGTGGGTGGCACAGGCTCAAATACTCGGGCCATTCTCTGCTGCCGTCATAGGTGCCTTAGCAGGAAGCTGAATGCCAGTGTTGCAAGAAACAGCTTAACCGGCTGTGCCACAATACCAGCCCCAGATTCTAGCCTTTACTCAGGACTGAAGACCTATGTACTGCAGCTCTGCTCCACTTGTGATCCAGCTCCCTGCAAATGTGCTTGGGAAGGCACTGGAGGGTGGTACACTGCTTGGGCTCCTGTAACCACATGGGAGACCTGGAAGAAGCACCTGGCTCGGCCCAGCCCCAAATGTTGTGGCCATTTGGAGAGTGAACCAGCACATAGAAGATCTCTCTCTCTCTCTCTCTCTCTCTGTGTGTGTAACTCTGCCTTTCAAATAAATAAATAAATAAATAAAATCTTAAATACAAAATTTCCTTAGACCCAATCCACCACATAGAAATGCCCAGCATTTTTAAGAGAGAAGCAGAGAGATGAGATGTAAGTGGCAATCACTAATTCTGTTTAGAAACCTATCTCACACATATGGGACAAGGCACTACACCTCCCTAAGTGAAGCTGTATCACTGGCCTGGAACTGCCTGAGGGTGGCCACCTGAGTTTACTATTTTCCTTCAATGATCTTTTACGTTTAGATTAAAAGGTACCCCAATAAGCCTCTCTTTCTTTACAGTCACAACTAGTGCCATCAGTATGTTAAAATGTTTCTCTAAAATATATGGACACAAACCTGTGTACTCTGTCCCAGAAGCCACTGAAGAAGTCGTTGATGCATTTTCCCAGTCTTTTTCTCCATTTCGACTGCCACAGCGACTGGGAGATAAGAAGCCCTCCACAGACTCTGATCTAAATAGTAAATAAAATATTTTTTAATATCTCCAAGAAAGAAACAATGTTTGGAGCACCAGAGGATAAATGTGAGCAGCAACCCAACCCAGCCTAGAGGCTACAAACAAGACAGCGATGGTGCTATCTTACTCATAGCTATAGTCCAACATGTGAGGCACAGCAGGCCTTGGTAAAGTGTTGAAAGACTGAATGTCTTCCATATAGAGACAGGCAAATATTGCCACAGTACGATAACACAAGATCAGAACTTGACGATGGTGACTGTCACTAGAACACTCTTTTCTGTTATGGGTTTGAGGTACAAGATAATGAAGTACTGAATTTTTGCTTCTAAACTATATCCTAGGAAAGACAGTACAAGAGATCTTTACTAAGTTATAGGCAATCTACTTTGGAATTATTCTAATGGGAAAAACTTTATAGTCAATGGGAAATAAGCTAGAGAGGCTGGTATTACATAGGTTATATATTTTCTATTTCTACCACGATTATCACAATCATATTAGCAATTACTGATGTATAATTATTGTTAATGTTTCATGTTATATAAACTGTCTTATCAATGTCAATAATTCTGAATTCTCAAATATAAATACTAAAAAATGAAAAGAACATTTTATATAATTTATTCTAGCAGAAATCTAAACAGTCCTAAGTTAGCAAAACATAAAAATCTGTGATTATGATTCAGTCATTCTAAAGTAAAAACACTACAGAATTTTTACTTAGGATTTTGTATAATTGTATAATCATACTTAGGATTTTGTACCATATTCTTTTCTATAAAAAATATTCATATTATGGATTTACCTTGGTGTCCTTTTGCCTGAATGCACACTCTCATTATCGCCTGTGTTCAGTGATGCCAAAGAAAGGCTAGAGACTGAAAAAACACGATAAATTCGTGATCCTGAACAAAAACAAAATTAGAAATTTAAAAGGAGCAACTAGTAAAGAGTCTGTTCATTAGCTAACACCAGCATATAAGAATTGATCTTCTACTAGTTTTTCTTTTTTCTTTACTCTTAATCTGAACACATAATATGCTTGCATGCATATATACACTATTTAAAATTAGCAAGGGACTCAATTTTAGGAAAAAATGATAAAATCCACTTGCTGTTACAAAATGAAAGTACTAGTATAAGATATGATACTATGACCCCAGAGAAAGAAAAATTGACAAAAAGAAAATACATCTAGGAATATCTAATTCCTAGGTAGAAAACTAATTTGTTAACTTTAACCAGTATCATATATCATCATCTAGAAGTTTCACTGACTAGAAAAGAGTTCTCAAACTGAATGTTATGTAATTTTTCCTCAGGTTTACAGTAACTATGAGAATTCTCTGAAATTTTCCATGGGGCACTTATTTTTAATAAAATCTCTTTAAAAAACAAGAGGATACATGTTGAATTTTTAAAAAAAAGATAAATTCTCTCAACTCCAGAAATTATCTTTGGATGTTTGCCTCTTTCTTTCTTTCTTTTTCTTTTTCTTTTTCTCTTTCTCTTTTTCTTTTTCTTTTTTTAAAGAAAAAGATTTATTTGAAAGGCAAAGTGACAAAGAGAGGAGGAGAGAGAGAAAAACTGATTTTCTATTGGCTGGTTCATTCCCCAGATGCCTAAAACAGGGCTGGACCAGCCAAGAACTCCATCTGGATCTGCCTTGAGTGGCAGGGGAGCTTTCCCTGGTGTGTTAGCAGGGAGCTGGAATCAGAAATGGACCCGGGCCTTGAACTTACACTCTTCTTTTTTTTTTTTTTTTGACAGGCAGAGTGGACAGTGAGAGAGAGAGAGACAGAGAGAAAGGTCTTCCTTTGCTGTTGGTTCACCCTCCAATGGCTGCCGCGGCCGGCGCACCACGCCGATCTGATGGCAGGAGCCAGGTGCTTCTCCTGGTCTCCCATGGGATGCAGGGCCCAAGGACCTGGGCCATCCTCCACTGCACTCCCGGGCCACAGCAGAGAGCTGGCCTGGAAGAGAGGCACCGGGACAGAATCCGGCGCCCCGACCGGGACTAGAACCCAGGGTGCCGGCGCCTCAAGGCGGAGGATTAGCCTAGTGAGCCGCGGCGCCGGCCCTACACTCTTCTGATACGGGGATGCAGACGTCCAAAGTGGTATGTTAACTGCTGAATCCAATGTCCCCTCTCCACCTCCCCCAACATTTGTATTTAAAGAGCAAGCTTGTGAAATCTTTGATTTTATGTTCCTTATACAGATAGGTTTCTTGTGCATTTCATGCACATAGCACTTATCCTTACATTTACAAGTATGTAAAGGGTAGTTAATTGGGAGAGTATATTGGAGGGCAGAGTTCTCTAACAGGTTAGTATTTAAATTGGGTTTTTAGCATTCATGTTTGTTTTACTGAATATATGCAGGCACACATAAAAACTTAATTCATTCAAAACTCCATTTGTTCATTTTGGTTTTCCAAATAAGAAGCATGCATAATTTCAAATTGTGTCTCCAATTTAGTGTATCAAAGCACAATCAAGTTAGTGCACAAACCAAGCTGGTGTTTCTTTATGAACAGACTCTTCACCACATGTGGTATTACCTGGAGGACCTTTTACTGGTGTTTTGGGGGATTCAATATGATCTCTGTGAATAGATTTTGGCCGCTGCTTTTTTTGTTTTGTCACTTGAGGACGAGGTTTGATTACTGTATCCATATCTTCCATTAGTTTCAGTTGTTTTCTCCTCATATACTCCTGCCTAATAAATTCTCTGCGTGCTCTCTCATCTTCTTTCTTCTGACGTTCTTCCTCGGTTTTACGCCTAATAAATTGAATATGGTTAAATTCTTTATTCTGCAAACTAAAGACAACCGACACTGGAGGGGTTTATATATTTGATGTGAGAAGGAAGAAATAGCTATTTCAGTATATTGGGGGAAAATGATGCATTTAAAATGTACTTTAGATAACCTACATCATATACACACATACAAACACCCACGTATGTACCTACTGCTGAAATTATTTTAAATGAATGTTTCTGGAGAACTTAACTTTGCTATGCCTCAAACTTAAGGATAAAAAATGTAAAATCAGGTAATATTTTGGGAAAACAAATTAACTTCTAAAAAGCACCAAAGGCAGTATTGATCCAGCTCTCTATGTATACTGTAAACATCTCTGAAAAAATCCATTGATAAAAAATTAATAAGAAACTGTAGGAGCTGGCACTGTGGCATAGCAGGTAAAGCCACTGACTGCAGTGCCAGCATCCCATATGGGCACTGGTTTGTGTCCCGGCTGCTCCACTTCCAATGCAGCTCTCTGCTATGGCCTGGGAAAGCAGTGGAAGACGGCCCAAATCCTTGGGCCCCACCCCCATGCGGGAGACCAGGAAGAAGTTCCTGGCTCCTGGCTTTGGATCTACACAGCTCCGGCCATTGCAGCCAACTGGGAAGTGAACCAGCAGATGCAAGACCTCTCTCTCTCTGTAACTCTTTCAAATAAATAAATCTTAAAAAAAAAAAAAAACAACAACAACAACCTGCATCCTTGAGCCCATATTCACCACATTTTTGCCTATGTACTATTAGTGCTCAGATGTAAAACTAGCACAGCAATTTCCTTTACCTTGTTTCCTCTTTCTTATGCTCCATTTCTGCTTCTAGCTGCTGTTTCCGGAGCTGAGTTTCCTTCTCCCTTCTTAATCGTTTCTCCAACAAAGCTGCCCGTTTCATTGCCATATCATTTTCTGCTTTTTGATCATCCTAAGAATGAATTTTATTGAAAAAGATGGAACATTTAGGCACCAATATTCTCTTTTTCAATGGCTGTAGTCACACTTTGCCATTACTCTGAACTATTACAACTCCATGTGGACATGTTCCAGAAATTATGAAAGAAGAACTAAATTAAAGTGGTAACAATTCTATCAAGAAACAAAGGACAGCTGTTCCTCTTCCAGTCCAGCTCTCTGCTGTGGCCCGGGAGTGCAGTGGAGGATGGCCCAAGTGCTTGGGCCCTGCACCCGCATGGCAGACCCGGAGGAAGCACCTGGCTCCTCCTGGCTTTGGATCGGCGCAGCGCGCCGGCCATAGCAGCCATTTGGGGAGTGAACCAACGGAAGGAAGACCTTTCTCTCTGTTTCTCTAACTGCCTGTAAAAAAAAAAAAAAAAAAAGAAAAAAAAGAAAGAAAGAAAGAAAGAAAGAAAGAAAGAAAGAAACAAAGGACAGTATAACCATAAAAAAAACCAGTTTCTTCTTTTACCCTAATAGACAATTTATAGCAGGGTGTTTTCCCTCATTCTAAAAAAATTGCCTTTAATTTGATTTAAAACATACACTTAATAAAGATGATGCAGGATAAAAACACCCAAATTAGTCAACCAATATCACATCACATAAATGCTACTGCTTTACGCTACTGCATACTACACTTTAAATTTTAATGCTACTTTAAACCTACTTGATAGGTTCTAAAATATGCTGACAATTCTTCCTTTAAAGAGAAGATTGAGTATAATCATACTCCTAAAATTCTTTCAACCTGAGAGTTAGTTCAAGATCTATATGCCTCTGGGAGCAAGCAGGCCTCAAAGGGCTTCCAAAATGCTTCATATTTCAGGAAAATAACTGATGTAGAAGTGGTTCATTGTCTTAATGACTCCTGTCAGTTACTGTTGTTAGTTTCAAATAAAAGGCTTTTATATGAAAGTGAGGAACAGAGAACATATCTAAACATGTGATAAAAAAGATTTTTTACAGCTTTGAGTCTACACTGGAAGACTGTTCTAAAAGTCACAGTGTACTTGAACATTACTATACTCCACCAAGGGGGCTACTAAAATATATTTCAGGATTAATGGCAGACTTATAACAAAAAGGAGTGCTACTAAAAGCAGCACATCGACCAACACACACACATACACACCCCATCTGATGAAGGTGTCCCAAACTAAGCCAAATAATAGTACCTTAAAAAAGAATCCACAGCATACTTTCTGGTCATCATCAAATTGTTCTTTATCACTTTCGCCATCATATTTTTCAACAGACACATCAGCCTTTTCAGGGGGTTTCAAATCTGAGAGGGAAACTTCAATCAGATTAACATTCTTTGGAGCAGTAGGTGGGAAAATGGGTTTAGGAGGTGGTTCTATGGGTTGATTCAACTGGTCCTCATTTGGTGTCAGACATACAGTCTCTGTGATAGGCTGTGACAGGACTTCAGACACCGTAGACTCCAAAGGCTTGATCTCCTTTTCTTCTGGGTTATGTTCATGGTGGTCTGAAGTCCCTTTGCATTCCAATTCCTCCTTCTTAAGTTCCTCCTTAGGTTTGGATTCCTTTAGCTGAGGTTCTCCATCATCCCCAAAACATACAAATGACCTAGTCTGAATAGGAACTTGACTGGGGGAAAACCTCCTTAACCGAGGCAGACTATCCACAGATCGTGGCGGTGTCAGGGTGCGATTCAATGGTGTTATTTTTAATTCATTTGGCCTAGGAGTCCTTTGATTTTTAACAGAAAAAGATGTGCTTTTCCTGTTAGAAGACTGTGGTGATGGATGAGCGGGACGAGGGGAGTCTGAGGAGAATGGTGCCATGGTCGATGCCAGGCCCGTCTGCCGAGAAGGTTTAAAATCTCGAAGCTGTTTCTGTGGAGAGGGCTGAGGAGGTGAAATTACCCAGGATTGCTGCTCTCTCATCTGCATCAACATTTCCTGCTGAAGTGACAAGCGTTGCATTTCTTGTTGTAGAAAATGCAGGGATGAATTTAACTTTTCAATGGATTTTGTATATTCTAAAAGTTCTCCTTCATTTAAAGTTTCTTCTGAGGGGCTTGCCAGGTTCCATTGCTTCTCAGGATCCACAGGTGTGGTTGGAGACTTCAGCCATTTTGCTTGAGGGTTCTCCATGCTTTCTTTTATATCTGCCAGAGACTTGCTCCTTTGTTCGTTCGGTTTCTGTGGCTCCTTCTCTTTGGCTCGGTCAGTATACACCTTCTCGTCTTCTGCACCAGCTGCTTCCTCACGAAGAGGGGAAATCCCATCCCCCTTCTTTTTCACCACAGTAAGGAACGCTGTCCTTCCCATTTTCTGCCTCTGTTTAGTGAAAGCAGCTTCCATTTTCTTTTTCTGGGCTTCTATAGCACGTCTCTTTTCTTCTAGTTTCATCCTAAGATGTACCATTTCAGAAGCCAACAACTGGGTAGTGTCCCTTCCTTGCGGAAGGCCCGTTTCTTCTGGAATTTGTGCCCAAGCAACTACATGAGGAATGTTAAGTTCAGAGCCCTCTGGTGTAGTTTTTTGAGAACTGCTTCCACTACTTTTTCCATCAGCATGGTTCAATTTCTTGAATTTCTGTTCTGCAAAGCTGGTCATCTTCACTCCAGAACTAGAAGAAGCACTGCTACCTGGCTGAGACTTGGTACTTACAGTGCTTGGGCAAGGACTCAAAGCTTCTCTGGGGTTGCTGGTTCGTAGGTCATAATCCTGAAGAAATTTAGATGCATCATCCATGTCAGAGTCCAAGCTTACAGTGTAGTCTCTCAAAGAAGAATCTTCATCCATAGTTTCAGGAATATCTTCTGAAGGTACATGAATTCCAGTGTCTACTTCAGTATTGTCAGTTATGGGACTCAAGGCACCTTTTGTATCAGTTACATTATCAGGACTAGATTGATTTAGCCTGATATTTGAATTTAGGATACTCATTTCCTGGCTATGAAGGAAGAAGCCATTAGCAATTTGGTCTGGCTGAGGAGTACGGGGAGATTTTTCGGTATCATGAATTATCTGTAATGCTTCTTCAATGCTTGGTGTCTCAATCTGATTGCCAAACTCATCTAGAAGTATTCTATTTTGCAAAGCTCCATTTGGAAGCCTGTAATGAATGTTCTCATTAGAATTTAGTTCATTTGTATTAAGGGGCACATAAGACCTGAGGTCACTGTGAGACTCCACATTAAATTCTTCTTCAATGCTCTCTGCTTCCTCCTCTCCATTTACTGGCTTGAAGGACAGGTTCTTCCTAATGTGTTTAGACGTGCGACTGTTATTCAGAGTAAGTCCTTCATTACTAATAGATCGAGTGATTCCTCGGGTGGGAGTCGGTCTCCGTACACTATCTTCTTTATCAAAAGAAATATCAAATGAAACACCATGTACTGATGACCTAAAAAATTTTACAGAAAAAATAATCTCAGAAAAGAAATGATTTTTAAAATATAATTAAAAATATGAATATTTCCTTTGAATATTATTTGCATTTCCTGTCTTTCCTCATTTCTCATAATCGTACTGTCCTCAAGATAACCTAGAGGTACTTAGCTTTCTTTTAAATTTAGTCCTTTTGACCTTTCTATCATCTTCCTTAGTTGCCCTTTTCAAATTTAGGTACTAAGTAAAAGTCTACATTTAGAAATTTGATTAGCATCAAAAAAGACGACACAGATAAAAATAGCATTTCTTGAAAATGGATATACACAATAAATAGCTCTGTTGTTTACCTTTTCTCTTTGGGCCATGTCCCTATGAAGCCATCAACATAGGACATGGATGAAGATCTTCTAATTCCTCCTTCAAATGCAAAAAAAAAATGTCATTGAACTTAACTGACTTCACATATCTGAGAATTTCTTAATAGCACGTTAGAAATTAGTAGGCACATATGGAGAGTCAGACATCATTTTATTGATAAGCAAACACAGACACAGACTAATCCCTGAATGCATATATTTTAGCTACTTTTCAGAAAAAAGAATGCATTTTTCTAATATTTATTCTCAGTGAGCTACTTTAAACTAGTATTTTTCTAGGCTTTTAAAGATGCATTACCTGAGGCTGAAGAGTGAGCGTGGGGACGTGAATATCTAGAAGGCAAATGATGAGACTGTGTATATGTAGCTCCTTCCCCACTGCAATGTAAAATGCTTTATTTTAGCTGTTTTATATTTTATAAAGAATGGTTAAAATTAGAAACAATACTATCACTTCTGATTCTATATTCTAAAATGACAGAAATAAGGCAATACATTGTTTAAACCAAAGAATGGCTGAAATTACAATGACATCTATATCTACATACAACCTGAAGTACTTTCTTTATACACCTCAATGTCCTTGTGAGATAAGATATGGGATATTATTTTTATTTTACAAATAGAAAAATGGAGAAACAAAAAAGACACCAAGTGAAACTCACCAATTTGAAAAAGTTGAGTCAAATCTAAACTAAAACTATTGGTCTAATAAACCCATGTAAAAGATCCCGACAGCCTCCCTGCTCACAGACTGAGGTCTCTGCACCTTCAGCAGTTAAATGAAGACAGTGAGCTGGACCTTGAAGACCACAGTGCCTTTGAAGACATCAAACTTTCCTGTCATTTCTTCTTATTTGATTCCACCTCATTCCAGTTATTGTAGAGGATCAGACAGTTTACTCAAATTGTAATGACATTTGTCCAGAATTAAGCTGTCTGTTCTTAACTTTTCTCTTTGTAAGTTTTAAGTCTGCCGGGTCCCTCTTTGCACTCAGGTGAAGAAGTTAAGCATCTTCACTCATAATTAATTGAAAACAGATTGGGAACAGACATAGTGATTTCTGTAGCTATCTCAAATCATATTTTTTCTTGGCTGATATAAATTGAGAAGGTGGACAAGTCAATCAAAGAATTCAAAGGTGAATATCAATGCTATATTCTTAATATTTAATGAAAGTTTAATTAATGACTTTTCCCAAAAGCAACAATACCTGAAGAACCTGCTCTGTCCAAAGCAAATGCTTTTCAGTGGACATTCCCCACACCTCCTCTCTCGCAGCTTAACTGCACATCACACTTTGTTTTATTTGTCATCATTTGTTAGGACTGTAAGAGATTCCTCACACTGCTCCCCTGATGTGTGTGCTATTATCCCTCCCTCTAAAATCACTTCTGCAGTTTCTACTCTCCCTCAGATCTATAGGTGTGTTGGAAGGTAATCCTGAATAGAAACAGGTTAGTTATTAAAATGTGCTCACTCTTTTCTTCTTCCCCAAATAATGGCCAAAATGTTGTAAAGGTCAATTGTACTTTCATATGTGCAGAGGATTTTGATCTGATATAACTCTTGAGTAGGAGGTGGTGTGTAGATTAGCTGGTGGGATGCCTTCTGCTTTGCCTGTCTTCTTCCTTAGATTTCTTTCTCCTACAATAGCATTTGTAGATGTGCCTACATTATCCCAGGGAAGAGCAGAAAGTTTCGAGTCCTTCCTCAAAAGTTCCACAGTGTTGGAGAACTACAATGGGCCACACGGAGACTTACAGAAGTGAGAGGATGGCTAGGAGCCTAGAATGACGGCTGCACAATAACTCTTCAGGGAAAAGAATTTAGACATCTATCTGGGTTAGACATCTGCTAGGAAAAAGTAGCCACTCAGATATCGGAGAGAAAGAAAAGAGATGAGTCTTCCCAGGGGACCTAAATGAAAACATTTTCCAGTGTTAGAAATTGGGAACTTGTCCATTCAGCTTCCTAGAACAGTACTTATGGAATCATCTGCTCTTCAAAATTAAAAAATTTAATAGGGTAGGAGTGATACTGAGTGTTTTTCAAAAGTAATTTCCAAAGAAGGAAAGGTTACTATGTAACCAACTCAGGAAAGCACTGAGGGAATAATAGGTTGAAAAACGCTTCCCATGAGGAAAAAAAAAAAAAATACACAGAAGCTCCTAGATCAGAAATACTTTAATTTAACCTCTTTGTACTAAATCCCAGAGACAGTTATGGAACAGAGAAATTTAACAGAAGGTAAGAAAAGTCATAGTAGAAAATCAGAGGATAATGCAAAGCTTTCTTAATTCATAAGAAATAACTTTATAGACATCAGAAAGTTCATACAAGTAAGAAGCCTCACATAGGAAGTAAAAGTATTTAAGAGTTCTGCCAAGGCTTGGGTTTCACATTCATTAACATGCACTTGAGAAAGTGACTTCTTAAATGTGAGGAACAGGTGACAGCTTCAGTTAAGTTTATGTGTTTAAATATTGAACCAAGAATTTATACATAAAGCACTTTATAAAAAATTCAATTTTAAAAATGTGTTTTAATGGATCTACTTGAATTTCTAAAAACCCTCAAAATATATACATTTTAACTGAAAAAAAAAATCAGATGGGTTAAGGAGCCAAAGTCAACATAAATTTTAGGTTCTAATAAATAAATGAATAGCTAATTATAGGATCTGCTGAAAACATTTCTAAACAAACTGATGTCCCTACCACAAACTTGTAGCAAAAGTCAGGATTATCCTGAAAATAAATGGCAGGACATTTTTACTTTGCTTTTAGTTCAATTCCTGATGTTAAGAACTAAAGCACTAGATTAAGATCCAAGATTACAATAAATATTGTGACTTCTCAATAGCTTTAGTAACCTGAAAATAAAATGGTGGGAAAAATTGCCTTAGAGATTTTTTTAAAAAATCATAAAAAATTTTTACAATCCAGATGTAATTAATAAATTTCCCTCTGATGCCTAAGAATTACTTATTAGATAATTCTCAATTATGGTACTGGGCAATACTCAATCATTTCAGTGTATATTTCAATTAAAGTTAAAACAGACTTTAATAGGATAAGCTAATTAAAACAGTTCAAAATCTAACAAAAAAACTTGTTCAATATGATGTTACTTGATTTCATGAATGTTTAGAACGGAAATAGTGAAAATGAAGCCACTGTGGACTCTACCTTGAAGTGAAGTCAGAACTACATGAACCATCCAAAACATTTCTCTTGGCAGCATTCAAGACAGGAACTGTCACAGGTTCAGCTAGAATAAAAGACAGAACCTCAAAATTACATGCTTAGCAGGTTTCTAACATCATTTAAAGAATTTGGGGCCATAAATACTTAAAATGTAATTTCTAATACTCTCATTACTTAGAAATTTTAGCACAAAGTTTTCTTCTTAAATAATTTTCAAAGGATCAAATTTTCTTTAAATTCTTCCTTAAGTACTAAACTTTGTTAAGTTTAATTGAAGGGAAAAGACCTAACATAAAATAAATGCAGTGTTTAAGATTAAAAATAAATCTGAATGTTTAATTTTGTGAAAGCTTTCACAGAACTTCAGGTACATGTGGTCATCTTTGCTTTTTTTATGAAATGGCTGGTATTTTAGTAATCAATTAAAGAAAGACACAATTTAATTGGAAAAAATTTAAACCTATTGGTATAAGTTTACATTTTTGTAATTAACCCTGGGGGAAGAGGAAATTTACTTTCTGATTTTGTGAGTTCTAATGCAACAGAAGGAATGTATGTGAAAATTCCATTAATTTAAAAAATTGTGCTAATAAATACTAGGTATGAAAATTAGTAAGGTATTTGACCTTACTTAATAGCCTTAGGGAAGGATCTCAACTACTATTTTTTTTTAAAGATTTTATTTATTTATTTAAAGGCAAAGTTACAGAGAGGCAGAAACAGAGAGAAAGAGAGAGAGATCGTCTATCTGACGGTTCATTTCCCAAGTGGCCACAACAGCTGGAGCTGGGCTGATCCAAAGCCAGGAGCCAGGAACTTCTTCCGAGTCTCCCATGTGGGTACAGGGGCCCAAGCACTTGGGCCATCTTCTACTGCTTTCTCAGGCCTAGCAGAGAGCCGGATTGAAGTGGAGCAGCAAAGTCTTGAACTGGTGCACATATGGGATGACAGCACTGCAGGCGGCAGCTCTACCTGCTACGCCATAGCACCAGCCCTGGGATCTCCACTTCTTTAAAGATATTCTTTGTTTTACAATGGCTCAATATTCAGAATCTTTTCTTTTTTAAAGATTTATTTATTTATTTGAAAGGCAGAGTTACAGTGAGACAGAGAAGGAGAGAATGAGATCTTCCAATGGCTGGTTCACTCCACAAATGGCTGCAAAGGCCAAAGCTGGGCCAGTCCAAAGCCAGCAGCCAGGAGCCAGGAGCCAAGAGCTTCTTCTGAGTCTCCCACATGGGTGCAGGGACCAAAGGACTTGGGCCATCTTTGCTGCTTTCCCAGGAATATTAGCAGAGAGCTAGATCAGAAGTGGAGCAACTGAGGCTCAGAACAATGCAAATATAGGATGCCAGTGCTGTAGGCAGCAGCTTTACCTACTATGCCACAACACCAGTCCCAATATTCAAAATCTTCTGTAAGCTGAGAGACTAGTGCAGAGTGAATACTCACAGTCATGTTTCACAGATTCTTGCCTGAAGCAACCTTACTGTACGCATAAGAATGATGTGCCTTCCCCTAGGTTAACATGTTCCCCTCCTTTCTGACCTCTCTTCTCTTCTTTTATTGCTTTTTTGGGGGTAAAAATAATGGTAGTGAGGAGAAAAAAGAAATTTGGAGCCAAGGGAAGCTGTTAAGTAGCTGGAATGCACAATGATCTTGTTCTGTGTTGGGTGGAGGTGCTCATCAATAGCTGAAAGCACTGGCCCCAAAAGATATGCTGGAGAAAGTTTTTAGGAGGACTGAAGTTGTAATTTAAGATCATTTTTTCCCTGTAGACATAAACCTCTGGTTTTATTTTTATTTATTTATTTATTTATTTTATTATTATTTTTTTTGACAGGCAGAGTGGACAGTGAGAGAGAGAGAGAGAGAGAGAAAGGTCTTCCTTTACTGTTGGTTCACCCTCCAATGGCCGGCGCACGGCGCTGATCCGATGGCAGGAGCCAGGAGTCAGGTGCTTTTCCTGGTCTCCCATGGGGTGCAGGGCCCAAGCACTTGGGCCATCCTCCACTGCATTCCCAGGCCACAGCAGAGAGCTGGCCTGGAAGAGGGTCAACCGGGACAGAATCCGGCGCCCCAACCGGGACTAGAACCCGGTGTGCCGGCGCCGCTAGGTGGAGGATTAGCCTAGTGAGCCGCGGCGCCGGCCAAACCTCTGGTTTTATAATGAAAGCCAGTGGAAAGTCTATTTTGCTAAGTGAGATTCTGCTGTAGAAAAAAATTCAGGAAGTTTTTTGCTCTTTATAACTAGGGGGTCTCTTTATTTCTTATTAGTTGTATCATTATATATAATCAATAGTCATGATATTATAATAATCACAAGATCTTCTAGGTTTAAAATTTATACACAAATATTTTATGATTTATTGGCAAATTCAAGTTTGGCCAAGCCAATGTCTGAGTAGATTGTGGATAATATAATTTTAAAACTAAGAATTTAGTAGGGAAACAAGCTAGGGAGAGGGGTAAAAAACACAGAGAAGAAAATAGGCCAAGAGTTAAAAGCTGAAATTTCTCACTGTAAGACTTCAAAAATGGAGTTATTCTTGTCATTTTTTCTTACCTCTTTAACCATCACAATTATTCATTTATCACAGAGAATTTCAGTGGCTTTAAATATTAAAATACTCAGAATTTGTCAAGGGTAACAACTAAAATCTGAAACAATAGGCTTTCCTCTTTTAAAAGACTAACCAAGTAGAGTAATACAAACTTCCATTTTCTACATTGAAAATAAAATGATTAATTACCTCCTTGTGGATGAAAAACACGAGGCTGCACAAATGATGGCTTCACAACTTCAAACCACCAGAAGAGTTCTGCCATGAACACCAGATAATTACTCTATGTAAGAAAGTTAAGAAAACTTAAATTAGGTAAAACTTGACTATAAATTAATAAATAGAACTTTATTTTGTTTTATCTACTAAAATATAGGCTTAGATCTTATTCATCACTAGAGTAATATATGTGCTATTGAACTTAGGATAGAATACTGTCTCTTGTGGGCAAAAATTACAACCACTATTCAAATCCTCTTTGCTAATCTGCTGTCTAGTGTCAGAATGGTGGTCTGATTTGTCAAGTATGTATTAATATCTCTGGCTGTACAGAACTTTAAGAGAATATATAAGGCACTTTTCTTCCAAAGTAAATACAACTTAAACAGCTATTCACTGTTTGGGCACTCTTTAGAGTGATTATCTTTTTTATTTATTTATTTTTTTTATTTTTTTATTTTTTTTTTTTTTGACAGGCAGAGTGGACAGTGAGAGAGAGAGACAGAGAGAAAGGTCTTCCTTTGCCGTTGGTTCACCCTCCAATGGCCGCCGCGGCCAGCGCGATGCGGCCGGCGCACCGCGCTGATCCGATAGCAGGAGCCAGGAGCCAGGTGCTTTTCCTGGTCTCCCATGGGGTGCAGGGCCCAAGCACCTGGGCCATCCTCCACTGCACTCCCGGGCCACAGCAGAGGGCTGGCCTGGAAGAGGGGCAACCGGGACAGAATCCGGCGCCCCGACCGGGACTAGAACCCGGTGTGCCGGCGCCGCTAGGCGGAGGATTAGCCTAGTGAGCCGCGGCGCCGGCCTGATTATCTTTTTTAAAAAAAATTAATTAAGATCTATTCAGACCCTTAGAAATTTCTCTGAAAAATAATGAGGGGCTGGCGCCGTGGCTCACTAGGCTAATCCTCCGCCTGCGGCGCTGGCACCCCGGGTTCTAGTCCCGCCTGGGACGTCAGATTCTGTCCCGGTTGCTCCTCTTCCAGTCCAGCTCTCTGCTGTGGCCCGGGAGGGCAGCGGAGGATGGCCCAAGTGCTTGGGCCCTGCACCCGCATGGGAGACCAGGAGGAAGCACCTGGCTCCTGGCGCGCAGCGCTGAGTGTGGCAGCCATTAGGGGAGTGAACCAATGGAAGGAAGACTTTTCTCTCTGTCTCTCTCTCACTGTCTACAACTCTCTCTGTCTCTCTCTCTAACTCTGCCTGTCAAAAAATAAAAAAGAAAAAAGAAAAAAGAAAAAGAATGAGGTATATTTAAAAATATCCCATTTATGTGCCAAACTCAACAGTAATCTGGACACTAAATAATACCACAGTTTAGAGTAGCCAATTCTTCATTTTGAAATATACAAGGGGTTGGTGCTGTGGCTTAGTAAGTTAAGCATCTGCCTATCACGCTGGCATCCCATATGGGTGTTGGCTTCTCCACTTCTGATCCAGCTCCTTGCTGATGGCCTGAGAAAGCAGTGGGGGGGGGGGGCTGCGACACTGCGGCTCACTAGGCTAATCCTCTGCCTGCAGTGCCAGCACCCCGGGTTCTAGTCCCGGTTGGGGCGGCGGATTCTGTCCCGGTTGCTCCTCTTCCAGTCCAGCTCTCTGCTGTGGCCTGGGAGTGCAGTGGAGGATGGCCCAAGTGTTTGGGCCCTGCAACCGCATGGGAGACCAGGAGGAAGCTCCTGGCTTCGGATTGGTGCATTTGGGGGGTGAACCAATGGCAAAAGGAAGACCTTTCTCTCTGTCTCTCTCTCTCACTGTCCACTCTGCCTGTCAAAAAAAAAAAAAAAAAAAAGAAAAGAAAAGAAAGCAGTAGGGATGGCCCAAGTGCTTGGGTCCCTGTACCTGCCTGGGAGACCTGGAGGAAGCTCCTGGCTCCTGGCTTCAGATCGGTCCAGCTCCAGCCGTTGTGGCCATTTGAAAAGTGAACCAGCGGATGCAAGACCTCTCTCTCTTTGTCTCTCCCTCTCTCTGTCTGTAACTCTGCCTCTCAAGTAAATAAACAAACAAGTATTTTTTAAAAGAAATATACAAAAACATTATTTACATAATTTAACATGTCTACATAATTCTGAAAAGTTATTAATAGGGGTAAGCCAACAACATTTTATTTATACCAGAAAATGCAAAACAAATGCACTGATTGGCTTAAAATTAAAAAGATGGACTAAGGGTCATCAAAAGCACATTTGTACCACCAGCTTACATTTTAAAATGTATATACCACAAAGCTATAATTTCCAACATTTTTTAAAAAGATTTATTTATTTCAGATCAGAGTTACAGACAGAGGGAGAGACAGGGAAAGAGGTCTTCCATCCGCTAGTTCACTCCCCAGATGGCTGCAACAGCTGGAGCTGGGAGGATCTGAAGCCAGGAGTCAGGAGCCAGGAGCAAAGAGCCTCATCTGGGTCTCTCACATGGATGCAGGGGCCCAAGCACTTGGGCCATCTTCCACTACATTCCCAGGCCATTAGCAAGGAGCTGGATCAGAAGTGGAGAAGCTGGGACCTGAACTAGAGGCCATATGGTATGCTGGTGCTACAGGCAGAAGTTTAATCTACTATGCTATAGCACCAACCCCCATCCTAATTATTTTTAAAATTTATTTTATTTATATGAAAGACAGAATTACTGAGAGAGGTAGAGACAGAGAGACAGGTCTTCCATCTGCTGGTTCACTCCCCAGATGGCCACAATGGCCGGAGCTGTGCTGATCCGAAGCCAGGAGCCAGGAGCTTCCTCCGGGTCTCCCACGCGGGTGCAGGGCCCCAAGGACTTGGGACATTTTCCAGTGCTTTCCCAGGCCATAGCAGAGAGCTGGATTGGAAGAGGAGCAGCCGGGACTCGAACTGGCGCCCATATGGGATGATGGTGCTTTAGGCCAGGGCTTCAACCTGCTGCGCCACAACACCAGCCCCCATCATAATTATTTTAAACATGCCCTTTAAATTTTGGGTATTTAACATCTAATAGTTTCAAATGTATTAATATTTCATGTTTGTGATATCTAACTTCATATTGAATTTGTTTTAAAATTATCATTTGAAATATGATTTTGCCTTCTTCCCTGATAATTATGAACAATTCTCAAGGCTCAGTACACTCTCCCTTAGAGTTCACGTACTCTTTTAGGTTCTCATATTTAGGTGGTGAATTTCAATTAGTCATCTCTTACATGATAATTCTAGAAGGCCGTTGTGTGAAGTAGCGAAGTAAAGAGGAACTGAGGGTGGCTCTTGAGTTTTTTCTTGGGCAACCAATATTACCATTTCATGAGAGGGAGAAGACTTGCAGAAATAGGTAGTGAAAGGAATCAAGATTATATTATTTATTTTATTATATATTTTTTTAAAATTTGAATATTTATTTTGAAAAAGTCACAGAGATAGATCTTCCATCCACTGCTTCACTCTAGATGCCTCAATGGCCAGCACTGGGCAAGGCCAAAGTCAGGAGTCAATCGCTTCATTCCAGTCTCTCACGTGGGTGACAGGGGCCCAGACACATGAGCCATCTTCTGATGCTTTTCCCAGGCCTTTAGCATAAGCTGGGTTGGAAGTGGAGCAGCCAGGACACAAACCGGTGCCCATATGGGATGCTGTTATCTCAGGTCATGACTTTACCTACTCTGCTACAACTCTGGCCCCAACATTATTATTTTTGAGATGTTCATGAGACACTAAAGTAGTCCTGTCATATAGATGGTTGAGTATAAGAATCTGGACTGTTCAGTGGTGAATACAATTTGGTAACTCTGTTACTTTACTTTCAGCATAAATTTTCAGAATATTCAAAGGTTGTATACAAACATGTACTGTTTAGAGCTGTCATTAAAATTTGTGACAAAAAATAATGAGAATGCTTATAATCCCTTAAAGCTGTGTATCCGATCTCATCTCTTCTTGCCTTCAAAAAAAAAAAATCTACATTTTTTTGGGCCAGTGTTGTGGCACAGCCAATAAAGTTGCTGCCTGTGGTGCCAGTAACCCATATGGGCATTGGTTCAAGTCCTGGTTACTCCACTTCAGATCCAGCTCCCTGCTAATGTGCCTGGAAAAGCAGTGGAAATGGCCCAAGTGCTTGGGCCCCTGTGCCCAGAAGAAGCCCTATTATGGCTATTTGGGGAGTAAGCCAGTGGATGGAAGATTTCTCTCTGTCTCTCCCTCTCTCTGTAACTCTGACTTTCAAATACATACATACATACAAACATAAAAACATACATACATACATATTTTTTAAAAATGAGGGGCTGGTGTTGTAGCACAGTGCCACGTTGGAAATACTTATTAGAGAGCCGACTTGAGTCTTGGCTACTTCATTTTTCCAATCCAGCTCCCTAATATCGCACCTGGGAAACAAGATGGCCCAGGTACTTGGGTCCCTGCCTCCTACATGGAAGACCAGAATGGATTTCCAGACTCTAGGCTTCAGCCTGGCCCAGCCCTGGCTATTGCAGCCATCTGAGGAGTGAACTGGAAGATGCAAGATTGATCTCTCTCTCTCTCTCTCTCTCTCTCTCTCTCTCTCTCTCTCTCTCGCTGTGTCAAACAAATCTTCAGAAAACCCCACAGCATGAAACCTTTACTACATCATTCTCCAGGTTTTCCTCAGCCCTATCTTTTTACCTATGCACAAACTTCTTTTCAAATTCTAATTTATTCACTTACTTGAAAGGCAGAAAGTGAAAGAGAGGGGAAGGGAGGACAGGGGAGAGAAACAGATCTCCCATTCACTGATTCACTCTCCAATGCTTGCAATGGTTGAGTCTGGGCCAGGCTACATTTGGCAGCTAGAAATCCAACCAGGTCTCCTATAAGGGTGGCAAGGATCAATTACTTGAGCCATCACCTGCTGTCTTCCAGCATGTTAGCTAAAAGTTGAAATCAGAAATAAACACAGCACTAAAACCCAGGCACTCTTGACAGGAAGTAGGTGTCTCAAGCAGCATCATTTTTTAAAAGATTTACTTACTTATCTGAAAGCCAAAGTTACACAGAGAGAGGGAGAGATTTTCCATCCATTTGTTCACTCCCCAGATGGCTGCAAGGTCCTGGGCTGGACCAGGCCAAAGCCATTGGTGAGGAGCTTCTAGGTACCCCACATGGGTGGCAGGGGCCCAAATACTTGGGTCATCTTTCGCTATTCTCGCCATTAGCAGGGAGCTGAATTGAAGTAGAGCAGCTAGGATTCCAGTTAGCAGCCACGTGGAATGCTGGTGTCACAGGCAGCTACTTAACCAGACATATCATGATGCCAGCCCCCTCAAGCAGCATCTTAATGACTGAGCCAAATGCCCACCCTTGTATAAACTTCTTTAAGAGCAAGCCCACGTTAACATTTTCCATTTTGTTCCTTCCAACTCCTTGATCCATTCCAGTCTGTTAATGAGCCACATTATTCCTCTCAAACAGCATCTGCTCATCACTAATGACTTACATATGTCATAAAGTCATATAGATGTCTCATTTTACTTAACCTCTCAGCAGCATTTGATATTTCTATCTCTCTCTTCTTGGAAACACTGCTGGGATTTGCTGTGATACTATGAGTTAAGCCACTGCTTGTGATGCCTGCATTCCATGTCAGAGTGCTGGTTTGAGTCCCAGCTACTTCACTTCTGATCCAGATCCCGGCTAATGCACCCAGGAAGGCAGCAGATGATGGCCCAAGTACTAGGGTCCTTGCCATCCATATGGGAGAGCCGGATTGAGTTTCTGGCTCCTGGCCTCTTCCTTTGGTATCCACCGGGGCTGGTTTTGTATCCAGGATCCCCATGGATACAAAAATCTGTAAATGCTCAAATCCATAAAATAAAATGGTGTGGTATTTACATATAATCCACACACATCCCCATTTATTTATAATACCTAACACAATGTGATTGTTATATATAAATAGTTGTTATACTGTACTATTTAGGGAAAAAACAAAGTCTGTACATGTTCTATACAGATCTAAGTTTTTTTTTTTTTTTTTAAGATTTATTTATTTATTTGAAAGGCAGAGTTGCAGAGACAGAGAGAGGTCTTCCCTCCACTGGTTCACTCCCCAAATGGCAGCAATGGCCAGAGCTGGGCTGATCTAAAGCCAGCAGCTAGGAGCTTCTTCTGAGTCTCCCATGTGGGTACAGGGATCCAAGGGCTTGTGCCATCTTCTACTGCTTTCCCAGGCCATAATATCAGAAGTGGAGTTGCCAGGATTCGAACTGGCACCCATATGGGATGCTGCCACCTGCAGGTGGTGGCTTAGTACCTGCTATGCCACAGCGCCGGCCCCTGAGATCCAAGTTTTTAAAAATATTTTTGATCTGTGGTTGGTTAAACTCATGAATGCAGAGCCTGCAGGTATAGAGGGTCAACTGTATTTATATGAGTTTGCATAAAAATAGAAAAAAAGATTTAAAAATATATGAACTGCATCATGGTATATATTTGTTACTTGCTTTCTTCACTTAATGTCTTAGTTTCCATATCAATAAAAGTATCTTTACCTCTTTTCCTTTAAATAGCTCAACTACATTAGAAAACATATAAATTATGCCCTTATTAAGATATACTGTTTCTAACTTTTCACTATGGACAATTCCTAAACATGCCTTCTGTGGATTTTTTTTTAAAGATTTATTTATTTATTTGAAAGGCAGAGTTACAGAGAGGCAGAGGCAGAGAGAGAGAGAGAGAGAGAGAGAGGTATTTCATCCACTGGTTCACTCCCTAGATGGCCACAACTGCCAATGCTGTGACAATCCAAAGCCAGGAGCCAGGAGCTTCTTCTGGATCTCCCATGTGGGTGCAGGAGTCCAACTACTTGGGCCATCCTCTACTGCTTTTCCAGGACATAGCGGAGAACTGGATTGGAAATGGAACAGCTGGGACTCGAACTGGCTCCCAAATGGGATGCTGGCACTGCAGGTGGTGGCTTTAACCACTACACCATAGTGCCGGCCCCATTCTGTGGATTTTTAAACTTAGTTAGATAATGCCAAACTGCCCTCTAAAATGACCACGTCAATTTATATTTTCATCAAGAGGAACAGACAGTGCTCATTCTCTATACCTCCACACACTTGTTATTAAACTGAAAACAAGATGCCAAGCATTACAGATCAAGCAAACTCTCAAAGGTTTTAAGATATTCACAGAAGTCAAAGCTGTGGTTTTAATAATTTAGCAATGAACACAGAAAGTGACCAAAGCCTTTTCTGTAGATAATTATCTATTTTAAACATGCCTGACTTCAGAAAATATCTTTATATCAGCAGAACTATATATTATTTATTTAAAGTCCAAGGTATCAACTTAAAAAGTGACCAAAGTCTTTTCTGTAGATAATTATCTATTTTAAACATGCCTGACTTCAGAAAATATCTTTATATCAGCAGAACTGTACATTATTTATTTAAAGTGCAAGGTATCAACTTAAATGTAATCTTTATTTTTAAAGTAAACTTTCTTTAAAAAGATTTTATTTATTTATTTGAAAGGTAGAGTTAAGACAGAGAGAGGGAGAGACAGAGAGAATGGTCTTCCATCCACTGGTTCACTCCCCAAGTGGCCTCAATGCCCAGAGCTGGGCCAATCCAAAGCCAGGAGCCAGGAGCTTCATATGGGTCTCCCACATGGGTGCAGGGACCCAAGGACATGCACCATCTTCCACTGCTTTCCCACACTATAGCAGAGAGCTGGATCAAAAGAGGAGCAGCCAGGACTCGAAGTGGTGCCCCAATGGAATGCTGGCACTGCAGGCAGAGGCTTTTAGCCTACTACGTCACAGCACCAGCCCCCTTAAATGTAATCTTATGTCTCACTGTATGTGTATGTAGTGAGACAATATTTCTCCCTTTGAAATTATAGTAGTATATAAATTTTTGAACAGACAAGTGCCAGAAAGGAACTACTAAGAAATACATGGAAACAAGATTTCCTAACTTCCATTTTGATAGAAAGGACAAGGCGTCAATCTTAAAACAAATTAAGGCTTTTAATCTGATGTGTCAGATAGTAGAGGGTAGGTACTGGTTTGTGGAAATGGTAAACATGGGCTGTACCTTCCACCCCAGAACCTGGCAAAGGAAGAAGACAGAATTTAAAGCACAAGGCACTGGCACCACTGTGAGAGAGATCCATCAACAGTTTCTATCAAAGTTGGCTTTGCAGTGTCTGGCATGTAACAGGCTCTTACAGAATATCAGTCAAACATCACGGTGGGTTTGGAAATGTTCTAACACTTACAATTACCTCCAATTTTTGTAATTTTACATTTTGCTGACAATCTTGTTAATATGACCTGACTTTCATTTTAATGAAACTCATTTCTTTCTCCAGAGAATGCTTTAATTCTGATTTGTTTTAATGATGCACATGACACTTGGTGGTAGCCTAGTAGATGGAAATAAATCCTAAAATTCTTCAAAAGTAATAGGTGCTCAGTTTGTTTCCACAATCTGCTTGCAAGTGATTTACCAAAACATAAATTATATCCAGAGAGGCTGCTTGTTCTTATAAATGTGCAGATATCTCCCATTATTTATTTAACAAAAACAAATCTTCAAATAAATTACTACTTTCAACTCTGCCCCACTTCAGGCATTAAAAGAAAAAGCTCTCAAGGTTTTTTATAGCCATAATCATATTACAGAACATTCCTGAATTCCGAATTCACTTTAGATTAATGACTTACAAAAATATAATACTAATATTAATAAAATAATCTCTGAAGGATAAGAAATAATCCTTGAGGAATTAAAAATATCATATTAATGATACAACCTAACTTTCAAAAGTATAATACAATTTTCAAAAATTCATTCATTGCTATTATTTTTAACTTCAATGTAAGTAAAATGTTTCACTTATAAAGAAATGGTACTAACCATAAAATTTAAATTATTCTTTTCACAAAATCTGAAAGCAAGCACTGACCAATAGTCAAAGGACAATGAAGGTGACAAATTCCAAATAATCTGATAACTAAAGAACAATTCTATATGACCTAGTGAGAATAAATAAACTAAATTTCAATCTCATGCTCAATGATTTAGTATACACATGAAAATATGCAGATCCATCATTTTGCATAACTCTATATACATATATAAATAATGGTAGCTAAACCGTAGAAGCCTTACCTGTCAATTCTTAGCTTAATTAAAAATTCTTCAAGAAAAAGAAGGCTTCATTATTTATAAAGAATCTTACTATTTGTTAGTTTCTATCTATGGCTCATCATCGATTGTGATAACAGTGAGATAACAGATCAATTTTGCACATGACTCTATGTGGTTCTACACTGTAAAAGGATCTTACAAGATAGTTGAGGGTATATTTAAAAATATAAAATAAGCACAAAAATAAAAAAATTTTAAAAACTTTTCATTGATAGTTAATCTATAAACTTAATGTAGCTCGATCATCTTGTTATTTTTTTTTCAAGCAAACTGTAACAAAGCAAAGAGAAAAAAAGAGAGTAACTTAATGTACCTTTATGGATGAAGCAGCATAGAGCATATCTTCCAGGGTGAAATGGCAACACTGGTTCAAGTATTCTTGGCAAAATTCTTGAATCAGCTGGAGATTATACAGGCTATCAGCCAAAGACATAGTTTCTTTCAAACAAATATCTTCAAAAGGGAAAACAAGGTGATGACTTTGGGTAATTGGATATTAAGTGTTTCATAATTAGTAACACAGAACAAATACATGATTATATAGAATCTGTTTAAAAAGCAAACACTGACATATTGTGGTCATGATAAAGATTTCCTTTTCTTAACTATCTTCCTCAAAATTATATATAAATGTTATTTTTCAAAAATCCACTAGCATTTCTTATTGTCTCAAAAATTTATTATCATCTATCTGTAGCTGAGAAGTACCTCCCTGTAACACTTACCCTCTAATCTGACAACACTGGGGCAGTAAAAATGAATAAGGGCAGCCAGCGCACAGCCATCTGTCCCATCCTTCAGCAAATTTTCTACCAGTGGAATGCAAGGCAGCTGCTTAAGCAAGGTTTGCTCTTTTCTATAACGAGCCTACAATATAAACAAACAAGATAAAAATAAGTACTAAGCCACAAACAGGAAAAACACATCAGTACTGTAGATCCTGTGGTGTCAGTAGTAACATATAAATCAGGAGAAATGAGGACTATTCACCAATGTCCTTCTTTTCTAAACAATACTAGGTACTACCAAAGTAAAATATATAGCAACATAATTGTGGCTTCAAAGCTAAACAACATAGCAAAAATACTGTTAATTTAAATGAAATGACATTTAAATATAAATATAAAATGCATCATAAAACATTTTGCAAATTTTGTATATAAATCATCAATTCTGTTAATAATAAAATGCATTCACTTTAGTTTTTTTACTTTTAATTTTTTAAAAGATTTACTTTATTTGAGAGGCAGTTACAGAGAGAGAGAGAGAGAGAGAGACAGAGAGAAAGAGAGAGGTCTTCCATCCTCTGGTTCTCTCCCCAAATGGCCGCAACAGCTAAAACCACAATGGTTGATCTGAATCCAGGAGCTTCTGGTCTCCCAAGTGGGTGCAGGGGCCCAAGCACTTGGCCCATCTTCCACTGCTTTACCCAGGCCATTGGCAGGGAGCTGGATCAGAAGTGGAGTAGCCAGGACTTGAACTGGTGCCCATACAGGATGCCAGTGTTGCAGGTGATGGCTTAACCTATTCCACCAACACTGGCCCCTCACTTTATATTAGACTTAAGTTCTTGTATAGAACAGCAAAAGTATCATTTGAATAGAATTACAACAGTTATCAAAATCAAGGGGCAGGTAGAAGAATATTAAAAAAAAAAAAAACCTTCCCAATTAAGTTTCATTATCCATCAATGAAGTATGATTTCCACTCTCCCTCGGTTAAACACTAGAAACTTTGTTTTCTCAAGACAGCTTGGTATGGCTGGACATAAAATTTTAAGACAGTTTTCTAAAAAGACAGGCTATAAAACTGATTAAGAGAACCATCTCTTAAATCAGGTTACCTGAGCTCAGAGCCTGGTTCTGACACCTAGCTTTGTGATCTTAGACAAGTTACTTAAATGCTTATTTCTACTAATAGTACCTACTTCACAGACCAGTGGAGGATTAAACAAGATGCTGGTACAGAGTGCTGTGTACACTGCTGCGCACACAGCAAGCAAGCAATAAAGACTGGCTGTTATTAGCGAGCAGATTTCTTCAAGCCAAGAAAATAGTGCTACAGATTCAGTTAAAGTGCATCCTAAAGTATTTTATCAGCAAAATGTATGATTATATAGGTTCCTGATATTTAAGTGATTATTTTTAACAGGGGAAAACAAGTTTTTCTTTTAATTCCATCTAAACTAGTCATCTCTATACTTGAAAATATAATTCTGAGATCTAATACTTTGCTGAGAATGAAAACAGAAAAGTTAGAATTTATTGAAAGAACATTAAACATTTGGTGGCAAAATTAGATTTCTTTTTTAAAAGATATCCCTCAGAAAACCATATGTATTAACAAAGAACAACATATTTATTCCTTCTTCTCTTTTACTGGTTACTCAAGGACAAGATCCATGGAAAATGTTTTCCTCTTCAAGATTTTTGGAGGAGTTTGTTCTTATTAATCAGTGCAAGCTATACATTTGTATTTAATCGCGTATCCCAACTCATAGAGTACCTATATTAAGAACAAAAAATTAGTTACATATACTATAGATTCTCTAATTGATTGCTTTTCTTAATTTGCTGCCAGGACAGTTAAAAATCAACCATGGAAAGGCGAGAAACAAAAAAGAAATCAACCTGTAGCATCTTCTAGCCTTTCTCACCTCTTGGTTCCTTACATTATTTTCTTTGGTCATTGAGAATGAAAATAGTCTGCCTCTTGGACATGCTCTAAACTGGGTTGGACTTGGTCCCAAATTTCACTCTCTAGGCCTAGTTTTCAGCCTAGGATCCAAACTGGACTAGCCAAAGCACACAGGGTCATGGAACACAGAACTGAATTGTGTGATTTTTCTATTCCCCTCTGCCAAGTAGCACTTCTGGACAAAGCGTATGTACACACATATACACCCATATTCAGTTTCACATGGTATTAGCAGTAATTATAATGATTTAGGCTAGACAATCAGAGAATTATGAGTTGCATGTAGAATCATTTTCCTGAGACTCTATCCTAGAAGGTATACAATGAGACGCCATAAAGTTTGTGTAAAGTGGAATTAAAAGTAAGAATGGGGCAGGTATCTGGCCTGGTAGCTAAGACGCCAGATAGGATGCTTGAATCACATAGTGAGGTGCCTGCATTTGAGTACCAGCTCTGCTCCCAATTCCAACTTCCATCTAATGCATACCCTAGAAGGGGTCAGGTGATGGCTCAAATAATTGGGTCCCTGCCAATAGTGAGGGAAACCCTGACTGAGTTCCCAGCTCCTGGCTTCAGCCTCCTGCTCAGGGCTGTTACGGACATCTGGGGAGTGAACCAGCAGATGGGAACTCTGTCTCTGCCTCAAAAATTTTTTTAAAAAATAAAAACTATATACTTTATTTTCAAAATAAGCTCCATCAAATTCAAGACACCTTTTTTAAAATAAATGTTTTATTTATTTGAAAGATAAGAGTTATAGAGAGAGGTAGAGCCAGAGAGAGAGAGAGAGAGAGGTCTTCCATTCCGTTGGTTCACTCCCCAAATAACCACAACGGCCAGAGCTGAGCGCATCTGAAGCCAGGAGCCAAGCACCTCCTCTGGGTCTCCCATATGGGTGCAAGGGCCTAAGGACTTAGGCCATCCTCCACTGCTTTACCAGGCCTTGGCAGAGAGCTCGATTGGAAAAACAGCAGCCAGGACTCGAACTAGCACCCATATGGGACACCAGCACCACAGGCTGAGGCTTTAATCCACTGTGCCACAGCGCCAGCCCCTAACACACTTTTCCAAGAGATGGTTCCAGCCATTTAGTCCATCTGTCTCTAAAGAACTGAGGGGGGTTGGCACTGTGGCGTAGCGGGTAAAGCTGCTGCCTGCAGTGCCAGCATCCCATATGGGTGCCAGTTTGAGTCCTGGCTGCTCCACTTCCAATCTAGCTCTCTGCTATGGCCTGGGAAAGCCACAAAAGATGGCCCACATCCTAGGGCCCCTGCACCTGCGTGGGAGACCAGGAAGAAGCTCCTGGCTCTTGGTTCCTGGTTTTGGATCGGCGCAGCTCTGGCTGTTGTGGCCTCTGGGGAGTGAACCAACAGATGGAAGACTTTTCTCTCTGCCTTTCAAATAAATAAATAAATCTTAAAAAAAAAAAAAAAAGACCTGAGGGTCCTGGAAATTTAAATATGCCAATGCCATAATTATTACATTATTAGTGAAGAAAAATGAGTGCTGTTTGAGGATTTTTTTTTTTTTTAAGATTAGGAAAGAAAACTGCTCTTATTCCATGAGAGGAATGAAAGATACATTACTGTGGTAGAAAAGGACTCTCGGGGGCTTTTCTGGGTGTGTTTCTGCTAAAGCTTTGGTTTTCTCAAAACATTCTCCTGATAAGTAGATGTTACTGTTCTTGGCCCCCAGGAAGCCAACAAAAGAAATGACCTGAGTATCCCTCAAAACTTCCTTCATACCCTTTGCTCTTGATTGACTGGTCCACTTTTGCTGTGACTGGACCACTTCTTCCCAGCCATGGGTCTGATTGTGCTTTACCTTTCAGGATCACACTGGCAAAGCCACGTTTCAGCTCCTTCTACAATTTTTTGAAGAAATGTTTCAAGATTTTGATCCCATTTGTTTAAAATTCCCATTGAAAACTCTGCTCATCTGTAGCTGATCTGGGAATAACAGTTTTGGTTCCAATCAAGCAGAGAGTCTTTGTTCAACTTTAATTTTCAGTCATAACTGTGTAAAATGAACCAACTGAGATCTAAGTGTTGGCTATTGTTTCTGCTTTTTATTGCTGGTCCTCTTCAATTAGGGCATAAATAAGATGAAATTTTCCCTTACAAATTGACGTGGATGGTCTGCCACGGTGGGCTTTGTGTCCCTTCCTTTTTGAAATTTCAATATTTTCTATTTATTTATTTATTTATTTATTTGACAGATAGAATTAGACAGTGAGAGAGAGAGAGAGAGAGAGAGAGAAAGGTCTTCCTTCCATTGCCTCAGCCCCCAAATGGCCGCTACGGCTGGAGCTACACTGATCCGAAGCCAGGAGCCAGGAGCTTCCTCCTGGTCTCCCATGCGGGTGCAGGGCCCAAGCACTTGGGCCATCCTCCACTGCCTTCCCGGGCCACAGCACAGAGCTGGACTGAAGAGGAGCAACCAGGACTAAACTCAGCGCCCATATGGGATGCCAGCGCCGCAGGCAGAGGATTAACCAAGTGAGCCATGGTGCCGGCCCCTATATTTTCTTTATATTTACAAAATATCCAAGATATGTGTGTGTGTTTGGGGGGTGGTATAGAAGGGGAGGGGGAGAGAGAGAGCTTCCAACTCTGGTTCACTCTCCAAATGCTCACATCTGGGGCTGGGCCAGATCAAAGCCAGGAGCTGGGATCTCGATCTTGGTCTCCTACTTGGGAGCCAAGGACACAGGAAGCTTGAAATGAGAAGTGGAATGAGGACTCAAACTCATGCACTTTGATTCAGGATGCAGGCATCCTAAGCAGTGTTTCAACTCCCATACCAAACAACTGCCCCTCACAGCCCACCCTTATTCCTGCTTAAAACAAGTTCTTCAATTCTTAACTGTTGATTTCTTTGGAACACTGTCCCTAGAAACTTTTTCTAAAGCATCAGTGATGTCATTGTTTTCTCATGCAAGCTTCAGTGTATATTTGTTTTCTTTTTTTTAAAGATTTATCTATTTATTTGAAGGTCAGAGTTAAACAGAGAGAGGAGAGGCGGGGAGGGGGAGGGGCCTTCCAAGCACTGGTTCACTCCTCAATTGGCTGCAATGATCAGAGAAACGTTGATCCGAAGCCAGGAGTCAGAGCTTATTCTGGGTCTCTACATGGGTGCAGTGGCCCAAGGACTTGGGCCACCTTCTACTGCTTCCCCAGGCCATAGCAGAGAGCTGGATTGGACGAGGAGCAGCCAGGACTCAAACCAGCGCCCATGTGGGATGTCAGCCCTGCAGGTGGCAGCTTAATTCGCTACACCACAGTGCCATCCCGTCAGTGTATATTTGGTATTTGATCTTGCTTCAATTTAAAGAGAACTAATGTTGTTCTGATAGGCTTATTTCCAAACTGATGTCTTATCCTTCTTAGTGCCTCAAACTAAGATTCTGTTCAGACATGTGTTAACAAGTCAGCATGAGTTTATTTTGGTACAAAAAATATATATTTTTAAAGATTTAGAAAAGAAGAGTGATAGAGGGAGAGATAGAAAGATCTTCTATCTGCTGGCTCACTCTCCAAATGGCTATAATGGCTGGGGCTGGACCAGGCCAAGGCCAGGGACCTAGAACTCTATCCAGGTCTTCTACATAGGTTGCAGGGGTCCAAGTAGTCATCTTCTATTGCTTTCGCAGGTGCATTAATAAGGAGCTGGATTGTAAGGGGAGCAGCTGGAGATTGAACCAGTGCTACAATAAGGGATGTCTGCATCTCAAGTGGTAGCTTAACTCACTGTGCCACCACACCAGCCCCAGTGCTGAAATCCACGCCTAGTTTTTTCACGATACACCTTCTTCCATGAATCTTTTGAAGATCCCTCTCATCAAATAAATCTAATTTAAATCCTGAGGTTATGTGTAACTCTCACAAAGTTTATCTGTAGTTCATCAAAATTATAGTGACTTTTATACTTGAACATGTTATATGCTTTATAAACTCAACACACGAAAACATTCCCTGTTTTTTCTATAACTTTAGAAATTCTACATTTAAAAGGAATATTTTCTACGTTTCAACTTTGCAGTGTTTTACTCATATTCTTATTCCTGCAAAATCAGTCCTTCAAGTCACCTCAGAATTTAATAGTTTAGATGCAGCACTGGTGAAGACACAGAGACCTTTCTGCTTTTATAATCACATAGAAAGTACTATCCTCTATAATTCATGCTAAACAGATTCTGTCAAAAAGGTGGTTTTAAAATATGAAATATGCATGCAATTAAAATTAATTTATTAAAAATCACTAAAATTAATGAGACTCTACATTCATAAAATTGCTTTTAACACGAATACTGTGAATACTGACAAGATTGGCAAACATATGCTTACGCTTTAAATTATTTTTGAAACTTCTAATCCAAACTTTGGTCTGATCTTTGACCTTTCCACTTTATATTATAAATTACCTTAAAACCCAACCTACAGCCAATTACTAACAGAATTATATGAAATGACTGTAACACCAAGACAAACACAGCATCATTCCACAATGACAAATATGGAGAGGAAATTGAAGTAACTGAGCAAACTTACAGGAACCAGTTTCCAAAACCATTTGGAAGGAGACTTCAGAGGAAGCAGTGGAAAAAAGGTAAAGGGAAAATTTATCAGAATTATTTTTAATTAATAAGTTATAGTAAAACTTATGAAAGGAGTCTCAAGTATTCTTCTAATAATATTTCTTCATATGTTAATCAATAATTTAGTGAAAAATATATAGATAGGTTCATTTTAGAATACTTAGGATATGTTCTATACTTGGGCAGCAAAGAATTTTATTTCTGAGTTCTGAGATCATAGATCACATTAAAACATCCATAGCATAAAAGAGAAGTAAAAAGATTCTAGGGCTATATTTGCAAAAATAATCGTCAGACATAAGTAGACCAAGTCTGGTAAGACAATATTCTTCCCAAGGAGAAAGGAAGAAAGACCATTTCAATAAATACAAGTATTTATACAGCAATGGGATAGAATTTACCAAAATGATCATTTCTTTCCAGCATCTATATTAAACAGTTTCTTTCAATTAATGGGAAAAGTTGACAATTCTTATCAGTTAAGATTTTCATAAGTTTCTAATACAAGCAACTACTTATATAAAGAGAATGTGTGTTAGTAGTTTTACTATCTAGGATGTGTGAAAAATGTAATTTTTTTTTTAAGAATGAATGTAACAGGGGCTGGAACTGTGGTACAGGGGGGTTTAAGCTGCCATTTGCAATCTGGCATCCCCTATGAGTCCCAGCTGTTCTACTTCCAAAGCAGCTTCCTGCTAACATGCCCGGAATAGCAGAGGAAAATGGCACAAATTCCTGTTAAAAACTAATGAATCTAGGTAAAGAGTTTATGATAGTTCTTTTTACTATGCTTGCAACTTTTCATGCATTTGAAATTATTCCAAAATAAATATTATAAAGTTCTACTAAGGATTTACTGATCTAAGCCTTAATTGAGTCTTGTGTTCAAATACACAAGGCTATTGACATGTACAACTGTTGAGGAAATCAAATTGTTACAGCACCCTTAGGCAAAGATTAAAGCCATGGTGCCATCTTTGAACTTTAAAAAGTATGTAACATGAGAAGTTCCTCACTGAACTACATTAAGTGAGTCGATAACAGAACAAGAACATATTCCAGGTTGGTGTGTTGTGTTTCCCATAAGGGCAAGTTAATTATTGCCAAAAGCTAAAGGTATGTCAGCAATAGGTGTAAAAAAGATGAATTTAATGAGTACTGACCAAAGAAGCTCCCACATGGGTAGAATTGTAATCACTAAACAGAATCTCAGGGGTAGGATTCTAAACCAAAAAGAATGATCTAATTGAGGCAAGTCAAGTCTTCACAATTTTTAACTGAAATAATGGCAAGAAAAAGGAAATCAAGATAAATCTAACAAACCAAATGATATGTTTGAGAATATTGTGCTATATTTCAACATTGTTTTATATATTTATATATGTATTAAATACACAACCAAGTACAGTTATAAGTTACAAATCAATGGCTTCCAAAGTATACTCCAAACAACACTAACTCTATGGAGTTTTAGTATATGTCACTTCTAAGAGTGACTAAAGATCAAAAACCTTTGGGAAGCAGCCAGACAAGTTCCTTGGACCTTTACTGTACTAAAATAGACTGTAACTTTAAAAAAAAAATTATTTTATTTGAAAGGCAGAGTTACAGAGAGAGAGATCTTCCATCCACTGGTTCACTCCCCAAGAGGCCACAGCACCCAGGGCTGAGCCAGAAGCTTCATCCAGGTTTCCCACAGGATTAGCAGGGGTCCAAACACTTGGGCCATCCTCCACTGCTTTCTCAGGTACATCAGCAGGGAGCTGAATCAGAAATGGAGCAGCAGGGACTCCAACTGGTGCCTGGTTCTGTAGGCAGCATCTTAACCCAGTGCAGGCTCCCAAACTGTAATTCTTAAAGGGGCACTGACTAGATAGTGTTTTTCAAATGTACTTGACTTCAAAGTCCTTTTCTCAAATAGTATCTTAAAATGCTATCTGAAGAAATAAAATTTGAAAAATAAACAGGTTACAGTTACTAACTGCTAAGTAACTTTGGTCAAGGGAGAAATTCATACTGCTAAAATAATCAAGCAGAGACACACTAAGAGCATTAACCCACTGGCTCACTGGGAGAATGTAGTCTAGTCTGAGGCTCCACCTTCAAGTGACAAGCAATTAGAGCTCAGTGAATGTCTTCTCTCCAAAGCTAATTCCCTGATCTTACTCTCACCTTCCTGGCAGATACCTCACAAATATTTTTCTTTAGTGTATCTTTAATATTTTGAGAAACATTAAACTTCACTACATATAACTAGTATTATAAACTTCACAACACAAACCCAGGAATTCACAGCTCTTTACAAAATGCCTGTGAAATGGAACTACTAGTAATTTAATATGCCTTTACTACGACTTTTACCTGCAACTTAGTGTTTCTGCTTATGTTATTCCTTGTGACCTCGTGCCCTCTTTTCCAAATCGTATAAACGCTTCTCAAACCCCACATCCTCTAGAAGACCTTCCTAGATATTTCACTAACAAGGTTATGATAAATCTATTGGTAACATACATATAGAAAAATCTATAATAACCAACCACTTACTTTTTTCCACTAACCTTCTTCCTTTGAGTCCCTTATGCTTACTTTAAAATACTGGAAGGGAAAATTGAGACTCTTTCTAGTTACAGAATTTAGGAACCACTGAATCTTTACAGGTAAAGAAAACCAGTGACTCTGTAAAGGTCATGAAGCTGGTAAGTAGCAGAACTACTAAGTACAGTACTCATTTTACCCTAGCACTTTGCACACACTCTGTAAGAGAATGAATGTTGGGCTTAAAGACATCCCAGCTATAAACTTTAGAGATGTTTAAAGTAGGATTTCCAGATTTAGCAAATAAAGCTTCAAGATGCCTCTGTAGCTTACAACAAAAATGTATGTACTATTTATCTAGAATTCAAATTTAATTGGGTATCCTAATTTAGAGTGGGAAGGAGCACTGGAAGCAAAAAGAGTGACTTGAGATGGTAACATTAGTAAACTGCTTAAACAAAACATATTCCCAAGACAGCGCTATCTGAAATGCTTAAGACAACTCATCTAACAATCAGAGATAACTATCAAAGGACCTAATACTCAAACAAAATACTTTTGGAATCTTCAATTTTGGTTCAACACTAATAATACATAATACAGTACAAGTATCCTTCAACATACACATATATGAGGGTACTTCAAAAAGTTTGTGGAAAATCAAAAGGTATATTTATTTTGGTAGAAAAATTTCTGAAACCCACATATATGGGGAATCTTCAGAATATTCACAAAATGCATATTAATACATGAAAAATCTATAAGTATACTTCAAATATTTTACACCAAAATAAACATCTTTTAATTCTGTTTCCATACTTTTTTGAAGTATGCTTGTATTTTACCAAGAATATGGCTATGTTTCATAAAACAAATTCTTTTGAACTTCTGAGTTGACAGGAGTTCGGCAAGGACAAAAGATAAGATACATTATCATCCAATACCACAGGTTTTCTTTATAGCTGAATAAGTAATAGACAACAGGGCTAGGCATCTGCATATGTCTCACTGGGCAAGCTGGCTGAAGCAGATGGAAAGAGTGGAGATTTCCTATCAACTGTATAGTATTAAGAAAGAACAAGTTATCTTATTCTGTATTCCTAAAAGGAAAAAAGGAATCACAGATTTTGCTTTGGCAGGATTAAAAATCAAGAATGGATTGGTATTTCCAGCCAAACCAATTAGTTCAAGTGCCAAAATCTCACTGCTAGGTAACATAGCAAGATTACTTTCTGTAGTTTACTGTGTGACAGTGTTTCCTCCTAATAATCACACCTGTACAGGTAGTAAGATGATGTCAAATTCATACTTATTTTCACAAAGATTATATCAATGAAAAAAGATAAAGTTCAATAAAAACAAAGATGCAATTGATATGTATTTGCTAAAATAAAAATGTGTACAACCCTAAATACCTAAAATGAATCACTCACACAATCATTTATATATATTCAAGCACTCACTGAACAAATATTGGTTGAAAGTTAACAAGTACAATTGCATGGGCTGAGTGCTATGAAAAAGTCAAAGAGGTATGTGTAAGTAGTGTCTGGGGGCTGGCACTGTGGCATAATAGGCTGAGCATTGGCCTGCAATGCTGGAATTCCATATGGGCATCAGCTCGAGTACTAGCTGCTCATCTTTTGATCCAGCTCTCTGCTATGGCCTAGGAGAGCAGTGGAAGATGGCCCGAGTATTTGGGCCCCTGCATCCGCATGTAGACCCTGAAGAAGCTCCTGGCTCCTGGCTTCAGATTGGTCCAGCTCTGGCCATTGTAGCCATTTGGGGAGCTAACTTAACCTTTCTCTCTGTCTCTACCTCTTAAATAAATAAAATCTTTAAAAAAATAATAATTAGTGTCTAGATTCCTACTGCATTTTTCTTCTTCTTTTTTTAAAGATATATTTATTTTGAAAGTTACAGAAATAGTGAGAAAAAGAGAGATCAGTCTTCCATCCACTGGTTCACTCGCCAGATGGCCTCAATGGCCAGCACTGTACCAGGCCAAAGCAAGGTTCCAGGAGCTTCATCCCAGACTCCCACATGGGTGGCAGAGTCCCAAACACTTGGGCCATGTTCTGCTGCTTTCTGAGGCCATTAGTGTGGAGCTGGATCCAAAGTGGAGCAGTCAGGACATGAGTTGGTGCCCATATGGTATGCTGACATTGCAGGCAATGGCTTTTCCCGCTAAGCCAACGCCAGCCTCTGATTGTTTTTCTTAAAGGTCATCTGGTTGTCTGAAATACAAACAGTATGTTTTTCCCATAGAAATAATTTTTTTGGGTCCTATGTCAGCATATAAAATCTCCATTAGTTCACAATGCACATCCAATGCATTAAACCACTATATGAGGGTACTTCAAAAAAGTTTCAGGAAAAATTGAAAGTTTATTTTGGTAGGGAAAAAAACTCTCTGATAGCTATGCATAATATTTCATAATACACATTTTCCAGGAACTTTTTTGTATAACCTCATATTAAAAAGACAAGAGTTTTATGGGAAAATTCATTAGTTATAACTTAGAATGATGCCAACTTACTCTTAATATGACCAGAGCCAGGAGCAAATTGGAGTGGCAGGACTATATGTTATCACCAAGACAAAGATTTCAACTGTCATAGTATGGGAAAGAGAAAGAGCGGGAAACTAACATGAAAGACCTGGGAGAGATGAGAGGTGAGAGATGGGGAGGAAAACTGGTTGGAGGCAGGAACATGACACGTCATCTGGGATGACAGAAAAAGAGAAGAGTTTCGTTCTCCTGTACCTTTAGCAGAAGGCACCTCAAAAGAGGTTAAGATGAAGGATTGAGCATGGATCATGTTTTTAGGAGATAAGAAGCTAGATGGGGGAAATCATTATGATCCCAAAACATCAAGTTTAGACAAAATTTAGGTTGTTCCCCATAAAGTTTTTCTATTGGCCTGGTTAATACACAAAATAGGTTTTCTCTTTCCTTCGTTTCTTCTTTTTCTTCTTATGGATATATGAATGACTAATAAAATAACCCCAATGAATAGAAGCACTCTGTAATAATGAAGAGATTTACATAATCTAAATGAAAAAGTTTTTGAATAATTATAATTTCTTACAACTCAACTCCAATGATGCATAATACATTTAAAGGACTCTACTACAATACATTTGAAATGATTTAAGATACTGTTTCGAGTCTAAATACATGGCAAACACACAATTCAGTTTTCAAAGGATAAAACTCTTAAAAACATGTTTGAGAATTTTTAAAGAATGAATCTGTTACATGTTACTGTTTCTTTGTTCCTCCAAATTCTACAACTTGAAATTCTGGGAATATTTTTTTAAAGGTTGTTCTTATTAAAAGTCATCAGAAAGGCAGAAACATTTAAAATTGCTTTCTTGTTGTTTCATGTATTTTACCAAAGAAAGGCAAACATTTATTTTTGCCCAAAGAACATCAGAAATTGAGTTCTAGTCATCAACAGTTTTTCCACAAACGCTATCATCTAATTAATTTGCATTTTGTACTCCTACTTAGCGTTTATAGAATGGTTTTCTAGGGTATAAGTAGCATCACTAAGAAATAACTTAGTAAAACATCTGTTAACATTTCCTAAAGTAACACATATGTGTGAATATATATGAACTCATACAGGTACATCTTTTCCTTTGAAATGTATACCTTTTGACCTCCGGGAGCTTCAATTGTGTGATGTTCCTTCAATTTTTGTTCTTGCTCCATTATGTCTTTCAAATGTTCATTTACCTTAAAGAATAAAGACATTAATTTGAACTTACACTGAAATTTCACAATGAAATAACAAATACCTTAAAATGCCTATGGTCAGATCCCTGCTATCAAATATCAGTATCCCTTAAATGAAGAATATTTCATTTTCACAACCAGAAAAGAGTATTTTACAGGTGCTTTATTTATTTATTTATTTATTTTGACAGGCAGAGTTAGACAGTGAGAGAGAGAGACAGAGAGAAAGGTCTTCCTTCCGTTGGTTCACTCCCTTAATGGCCGCCATGGCTGGCGCGCTGCGCCGATCCGAAGCCAGGAGCCAGGTGCTTCCTCCTGGTCTCCCATGCAGGTGCAGGGCCCAAGCACTTGGGCCATCCTCCACTGCCCTCCCCGGCCACAGCAGAGAGCTGGACTGGAAGAGGAGCAACTGGGACAGAATCTGGTGCCCCAACTGGGACTAGAACCTGGGGTACCGGTGCCGCAGGCGGAGGATTAGCCTAGTGAGCCACGGTGCCGGCCAGATGCTTTATTTCACATTCTAAAATTAATTAAGCTATCAAATACCTGTTGAGCATCTGCTATATGTCAGGAACAGAGCAGAGTGCTAGGAGGAAAAAAAAGTACTTGATAACATTAGTTTTAATGTTTAGGAATCAAAATAATACTTTATTAAAGTAAAAAAACTGACAATCTACAACTAGTAAACAAAACTATTTTCATCAGAATTAAATATTTTTATTATGGACAAAAAACACCTGTAAATCAAAGTCAAGCTGTGATTTCACAGACACATTCATGGATGGATCATGGAGAGGTTTAGTGTAGTCATGAGGCCACAGTGAGAACACACATAAAATAGCTGCACCTGAGAACATTTTTGGGAGAAGGCCTGATTTAACTTTTATCAGATTACTCAAGTAGCCCATAATCAAAAAAGTTAAACAGTCCATCTGGTGCACAAACTATTTACTGAGAAGCCTAGACAATTTTGGATTTTGAATTAATGATTTCAATAGGGTCACTCTGGTAACAAAGAGTCCAATTTATTCATTTTTTCCCCCAACTTATCCATGATGGCACTCTAGAAAATACTAATGTCATTGGCCACCAGAACTTTCAATTTCTACTTTGTTTCTGGCACTTGAGAATTTCCTTTAACTAGCTTCGTGGTATAAATTTTTCTAATTTTATCAAGCATGCCCAGGTACAACCACCTGACATGTTGTTAAAGACATTCATGTTTTGTGTTGTGGTTGATATGCGTGCTATAAAACATTTTTATAATTTTCATACATCTTTCATAAAGCATTTTGGTCTATTTACCAAACAGGGGTGGGGGAAAGAAGACAGGACTAAAATCTGGGGAAGTTTATAACTTTTTGTTTTCCCTTATTTTACTTAATATTTTTAAAGATTTATTTATTTACTTCAAAGACAGAATTATAGAGAGAGATCTTCTGTCCGCTGGTTCACTCCACAAATGGCTGCAATGGTCAGACCTGAATGGTCCAAAGCCAGGAGCCAGAAGCTTCTTCAGAATCTCCCACATGGGTGCAAGGGCCCAAGCTTTCCCAGGAACATAAGCAGGGAGGTGGATTGGAAGTGGAGCAGCTGGGACTTGAACTGGTGCCCATATGGATGCTGGCTATGTGGGCACTGGCTTTACCTACTATGCCACAATGCTGACCCCTTTCTCTCTCTCTCTCTTTTTTTTTAAACAAATTTGTTGATTTAAAAGGAAGAGCAACAAGGAAAGATTTATCTTTCATCTGCTAGTTTACTCCCCAAATGGCTCCAATGGTGGGGGCTGAGCCAGGCCGAAGCCAAGAGTCCAGAACTCCATCTGGGTCTCCTATATCAGTGGCAAGGGCCCAAGTCCTTGGGCCATCATCTGCTGTCTTCCAGGTCTGTTATAAAGGAGGTGGATTTGAAGTAGAGTGGCTAGAAATTGAACTGGCACTCTTACATGGGATGTTAGTGTGGCAAGTAGCGGCTTAATCAGCTGTGCTACAACACTTCCTATCGTCTTTTGTATCTATCTCCATTCTTACAGGAGAGAAGAGGACAGTGAGTGCTGATGCAGAGGCTTACAGATTTGGGAGTCATAAGAGATAATTCCCACCTGATGACCTTCCACCTCTGGTCTCAAAAAGGGACAAGGCAAGGTAAGCTGACAGCAGTAGGTACAGCTGATGGTGATGAAGGAAGTGTTCCATAAAGTCTGAGGATTCATGGAGAAAGGATTCAACAGTCATCTTGAAGTACGGAAAAGCAAACTTCTTAGCGACACACTGGTTGGACTGGCTGTGATTGGGTGTTCATTTGAAGTTTGTGCTTAAGAATTTGAAGTGAAAACTGCTTCCTTGTGTAAATGACTCCAGCAATATATACCTCCACAGGTTCAAAGAGAGCCAAGATGGGTAACAGCTCAACCATCTGAGCTATTACCAGAAGACTAACAGAGAGGGAAGATGAGAAAGAACTGATGGTACTTGCAAGAATCTAAAATCAAAAAGGAGAATGTGAAGTCAAGTGAGATTGTGAGAAATCAATAGGCTTTGAAATCTTAAACTTGAATATTTTTAATAGTAGGGGATGTAAAGCAGATGAGTTGGAAAGATAGGAAGAACTGTTCAAGAATGGGAAATTTACAGTGGGATGTGATGGTCATATAGCTCTAACAATGAATAGGTCTAAGACGTGACAATGATTCTCTGTGGCTGAGAAGTGAAAAAAAAGATCACTAAGATGAAGAAATAAAGCAACTCCAAGGGTCCCCCACGCTGATACTGGTAGTATGAAAAATTTAAAGGGACATAAGTGTTTTTTACACTTAGCTGCCTGTAACAATCTTCACATGAGTATTTAAGAAAGGATGCCTGGGGGCTGGCACTGTGGCGCAGCGGGTTAAAGCCCTGGCCTGAAGTGCTAGCATACCATATGGGCACCGGTTCTAGTCCTGGCTGTTCCTCTTCCAATCCAGCTCTCTGCTATGGCCTGGGAAAGCAGTAGAAGATGGCCTAAGTCCTTGTGCCCCTGCACCCTCACGGGAGACCCGGAAGAATCTCCTGGCTCCTGGCTTCGGATCGGTGCAGCTCTGGCCATTGTAGCCGTCTGGGGAGTGAGCCAGTAGATGGAAGACCTATCTCTCTGTCCCTACCTCTCTCTGTAACTCTGTCTTTCAAATAAATAAAATAAATATTTTTTTAAAAAAAGGATGCCTGAAGTCATAACTTCTTTTAAATCTGTCCAGCGTATACCTGTAGATCAGGTTTCATTTTCTCTAGGGTGACAGGTGTAATGAAAGTGGATGGAGAAGAATTAACTATTCAAACTGGAAACAGGGATGATAAACTAATAATTTAAGCACAATTCACAGTTTCACAAAAATTTCCAAAAGAAATTTATAATCAATGATCTTGTGCAATATGTTTAAGTAAACTTAAGAATATAACTAGAATGTGAGAAAATTATTTTATTCTTGAATTCAAAAACTATTGACTGAACACTCAACACTCACTCTGCATAGCTCCTATTCTGAGTACTCTGAATTCTGCAATAACTTGCTGTGGAGGGCCGGTGTTGTGGCATAGTAGGCTAAGCCTTCACCTGCAGCACAGGCATCCCCTATGTGTGCCAGTTCATATCCCAGCTGCTCCTCTTCCAATTCAGCTCTCTGCTATGGCCTAGGAAAGCAGTGGAAAATGGTTCAAGTGCTTGGTTGGGCACCTGCACCTGTGTGAGACTCAGCAGAACCTCCTGGCTCCTGAACAACTCAGCCCTAGCTATTGCAGCCATCTGGGGAATGAACCAAACGTATGGGAAACTTTCTCTTGGTCTTTTCCCCTCTCTGTCTGTGACTCTACCTCTTAAATAAATACTTACATAATAATAATTTGTTGTGAACTATGTTAATCATTATTAAATGTAGTTACATGCTGCTGAATATACAGAAATCTATTTTCTTCATTCCAACAGTTTTTTTTTAATAAAAAATTTTAAGTGAATTTCACAACTTAAGTTTTCACTTTGATTTAAAACAAAAAGTAAGGGAGCTGCAATGGCTAATTTAGGGTTTTACTTTTTCTGATTATGAGACTTTTACTTATATTATAATCTTACCTTATTTATCCAGTACATGACAGCATCCTCGATATCGTAGGGCAGATCCGTGGCTTGAAAGAAAGTTGAATATTGCTGAGCACATGCAATTACTTTTTCTATACTGACCATTTCTACAGTGTAAGCCATCATTAAAGTATCTATCATGGCCAAATGTGCACTCTGAAAATACAAAACAAGAACAAATAGTTAAAAAATTACACTTATAAATCTCTGCTTATTTATTTTGAAATAGTAATAACCTTACAATAAGCAACATCAGAGCTCAAGTCTATAGAATACCAGCCTTAGCTGTAAACAGCATAAGTTGTACATGTTTAGGATGAGCTAACTGAATCAAACATTTACTCAGATACTTATTAAACTATCCAGCTCTCTGCTATGGCCTGGGAAAGCAATGGAAAATGGCCCAAGTCCTTGAGCCCCTGCACCCTCATGGGAGACCCAGAAGAAGCTCCTGGTTCCTGGCTTTGGATCAGTGCAGCTCTGGTCATTTCAGCCATCTGGGGAGTGAATCAGTGGATAGAAGACCTCTCTTACTCTCTGCCTCTCTGTAACTTTACCTTTCAAATAAATCTTTTTTAAAAAAAAGATTATATACTATGATACCAATCAAAATACCAAAGACATTCTCAGATCTAGAAAAAAATGATGCTGATCTTATACAAAAGAAACAAAGCTGGAGGCATCACAATGCCAGATTTCAAGACATACTACAAGGCAGTTATAATCAAAACAGCCTGGTACTGGTACAAAAACAGATGGATAGACCAATGGAACAGAACAGAAACAGCAGAAATCAATCCAAGCATCTAAAACCAACTTAGCTTAGACCAAGGAGCTAAAACCAAACCCTTGAGCAAGGACAGTCTTTTCAACAAATGATGGTGGGAAAACTGGATTTCCATATGCAGGAGTATGAAGCAGGACCCCTATCTTAACATCTAACACGAAATTCCATTCAAAATGGATTAAAGACCTAAACCTACGACCTGATACTATCAAATTACTAGAGTACATTGGGGAAACCCTGCAAGACACTGGCACAGACAAAGAGTTCCTGGAAAAGACCCCAGAGGCACAGGAAAAATCAAAGCCAAAATCAACAAATGGGATCCATCAAATTGAGATGCTTCTGTACTGCAAAAAACCAAAAAACAAACAAAAAACCTCAGGAAAGTGAAGATGCAGTCGACAGAATGGGAGAAACTATTTGCAAACAATGCAACAGATAAAGGATTAATAACCACAATATATAAAGAGATCAAGAAACTCTATAACAACAAAACAAACAACGCAGTTAAGAAATGGGCCAAGGACTTAAACAGACATTTTTCAAAAGAAGAAATCCAAATGGCCAACAGACACATGAAAAAATGCTCAGGATCATTAGCCAACAGGGAAATGCAAATAATACGACAATGAGGTTTCACCTCACTTCAGTTAGAATAGCTTTTATATAGAAATCAACAAACAACAGATGCTTGAGAGGATGTGAGGAAAAAAGTACCCTAATCCACTGTTGGTGGGAATGTAAACTGGTAAAACCACTATGGAAATTGGTTTGGAGATACCTCAGAAATCTGAATATAGACCTACCATATGAATATATGGTATCCCACTCCTGGGAATTCACCCAAGGGAAATAAAACCAGCAAGTAAGAGTTATCTGCACTCCCATGTTTATTGCAGCTCAAGTCATAATAGCTAAGACATGCAATCAACCTAAATGCCAGTCAACTGAAGACTGGATAAAGAAATTATAGGGTATCGGGGCCAGCGCTGCGGCACAGTGGGTTAATCCTCCGCCTGTGATGCCAGCATCCCACGTGGGTGCCGGTTTTAGTCCCAGCTGCTCCACTTCCAATCCAGCTCTCTGCTGTGGCCTGGGAAAGCAGCAGAAGATGGCCCAAAGCCCAAGTCCTTGGGCCCCTGCACCCACATGGGAGACCCAGAAGGGGTGCCTGGCTCCTGGCTTCGGTTCAGCATAGTTCCGGCCATTGCAGTCATTTGGGGAGTGGACCAGCAGAGGGAGGTCACCTCTGTCCTTCCCTCTCACTGTCTGTAACTCTACCTCTCAAATAAAATAAATAAAATCTTAAAAAAAAAAATTATAGCCGGCGCCACGGCTCACTAGGCTAATCCTCCGCCTAGCGGCGCCGGCACACCGGGTTCTAGTCCCAGTTGGGGCGCCGGATTCTGTCCCGGTTGACCCTCTTCCAGGCCAGCTCTCTGCTGTGGCCAGGGAGTGCAGTGGAGGATGGCCCAGGTGCTTGGGCCCTGCACCCCATGGGAGACCAGGAAAAGCACCTGGCTCCTGGCTCCTGCCATCGGATCAGTGCGGTGCGCCGGCTGCAGCGGCGGCCATTGGAAGGTGAACCAACGGCAAAGGAAGACCTTTCTCTCTGTCTCTCTCTCTCACTGTCCACTCTGCCTGTCGCTGCCCCAACCCACACACAATTAACTTCAGCATAAACGTATATTGGAAAAGAAAAGAAAAGAAATCCTCTCCTTTGCAACAAAATGGATCCAACTGGGAAATATACTTAGTGAAATAGGCCAGTCCCAAAGGGAAAAATACCATATGTTCTCCCTGATCTGTGATAACTAATAGCGCACCTAAAAGGCAATCTGTAGAAGTAAAATTAACACTTTGAGAAAGGATGACTTGCACAGCCCTTGTCTTGACTGCTTAGGAACAGTTTTTTTTCCTCTTAATGGAGAATGGGATTGGGAATGGGAGAGGGAGGAGTAGTTGGGGAGGGAGGATGGGTATAGTGGGAAGAATCACTGTAGTCTTAAAGTTGTACTTATGAAATTTGTACTCATTAAATAAACGGTTTCTTTGGGGGAAAAATGTATACTAGCTGCTTTTTCCTATTTTTGATGTCATAAGCATTTACTCATAACTTACAATTTACAAACTTCATATCTACAAAGTAAAAACTAGATTCTACTTTTTTTTTTTAAAAGATTTATTTATTTATTTGAAAGGCAGAGTTACAGAGAGGCAAAGGCAGAGAGAGAGACAGACAGAGAGAGGTCTTCTATCTGTTGGTTCACTCCCCATATGGCCGCAACGGCTCCAGCTGGGCCAATCCAAAGCCAGGAGCCAGGAGCCAGGAGCCAGGAGCCAGGAGCCAGGAGCCAGGAACTTCCAGGTCTCTCACAAGAGTGCAGAGTCCCGAGCACTTGGACCATCCTCCACTGCTTTCCCAGGTCATGGCAGAGAGCTGGACTGGAAGCGGAGCAGCAGGGTCTTGAATTGGTGCGCATATAGGATGCTGGTACTGCAGGTGGTAGCTTTACCCGCTACACCACAGTGCCAGCCTCTTCATTCTACTTCTAAAATATCTCTTGAATCTTCCCTCTTCCTTATGCTGATTAATTTAGACTTAAACACTTCTCACACCTGAACAAGGCAAAAAAATTCTTTAACTGATTCTCCTGCCTCCAAGTTCTTCCTCATCTAAATATCCAGCACAGGACTTCTAGTCTTTCCTTTGGCTTTTTTTTTTTTTTTTTAAATATATAAGAATGCTATATATGAACAGGCATTTTTCAAAGGATGAAATACAAATGGCTAACACATGAAAAGATGCTCAAGATCAGGAGACATCAGGGAAATGCAAATAAAAACCACAATGAAGTTCACCTCACTCTAGTTAGAATGGCTATCATCCAATAGTCAAAAAATAGGGGCTGCTGTTGTGGTGTAGCAAGGAAACTGCTGCCCACAATGCCAGCAGCCTATATGGGCATTGGTTTGTGTCCCAGCCACTCCACTTTCAATTCAGTTTCCTGCTAATAGCCTGGGAAAAACAGCGGAGGATGCTCCAAGTACTTGGGCCTCTGCTACCTACGTGGGAGACCTGGAAGAAGCTCCTGGCTTCTGCCTTTGGCTTAGCTCAGCCTTGGCCATTGCAGCCATCTATGGAGTGAACCAGTAGATGGAGGATCTCTCTCTCTGTCTCTCCCTCTCTATCTCTAACTGTGTCTTTCAAATAAATGAATACATCTTAAAAAATATAACAAATGCTGGCAAGGATTAGAGAAATAAGTATCCTAATACACTGTTGGTGGGAATGTAAACCAACACAGCCATTATAGAAGACAATATGGAGATTCCTAAGAATTCTGAAAATAGATTTACCATATAACCCAGCCATTCCACTCCTGGGATTTCCAAAAGGAAATGAAATCAGCATGACAGTTATCTGTATCCCCATCATTTGATATATTAAACTTTAATAATAGAAAAATATAAAATATAATGTTGAGTGGAAAAAAAACAACACTACCATAATAATGTAATACATATGAGGGACAGGAAGAGAAAACAAATGAATAAAAGAAAACTTCAGTAACTGCCTTGTTATAGTGCACAAAGTACATATAAATCAATAGTTTACTTCAAATATTGGGATACTAAACAAAAATGTAATCAGTAACACATTTTTCAGACCAAAGCTCATTTCATTGATTAACTTTCTAAATTAAAAAACAAATTCTAGAAAATGCCACTACTTTGCTGACTTATTTCTACATGATATCCACTCATTTTCAAACTAAGAATTCTCATACTTTAGGTTTTTCACTCTTTACTATATGAGATAATAGTAAATAGAAAATTATATTAAATTATATTTAATGGCAAGTATATACATATTAGATCTAGAAAAGATCAACATTAAAAAATAACCTCAAGGTTAAAATCAATCAATTTAGAGCTCGAAGGTTGCAAATCAAACACATACACTTAGGGAAGGCATCCGACTTGGTGGTCAAGGTGCCCGTGACCCGTATCAGAATGCCTGGGCTTGGTTCCCAGCTCCAGCTCCTAACCCAGCTTCCTGCTAATGGAGGTCCTGGGAGGCAGTAGTAAATGCCCAAATCACTGGGTTTCTCTGCCTTCCCATAATGGGAGACCTGGATTGATCCTTGGTTACCGTCAATGGTTCAGGATGAGGGGCATCTGGGGAGTGAACCAATGGATGGGAGCTCTCTCTGTCTCTCAAGCAAATTTTTTAAATATACATATTTAATTTCGTACTTAAATCACTAAGATCAGAATAATAATAATAGCTAACACTGTTTTCAACATGTAATATTTTCAGTACTTATATTAAACTAATTTAATACAACAACCCTGTGGGATAAAC